TACAACCCTCCTTCTCCTGATGCTTTTCCTCCTACTTCTGCCACAGATTATGTGCCATTTGATAGAGTCGTCACTCGTAGCGGCCGAGTGATTCACACCCTTGCCCACTGCCTCCCACGTGGGATACAATTCTGCCTACAACAAGCATCCTGCCAGCGCCCGGAGGGGAGAGGGAGTATTGTAGTGGCTAACTCTCCCTACAAATGCTATGCCTACTCGCGCCACCCTCGCTCGCTGATTGGCCAGCTGCCGTCCTCCCCATCAGCCAATCCGCTGCTGCCTGCGTCCTTGAGTAGGCAGGATTATATAAATGCCCCCCGCCTCTCCGTGAAGGCCAAAAGTATCATCGCCAGCCAGCCTTCGCCGTGATAGAACCTCTCTCCAGACCCTTCACCGCCAAAGGCAGCCTTTGTCTCAAACTGTTGATGATTGGAACGTAAACGACTACCTCACTAACCATCACTTGACACCACTCACCACCACTTAAATATTCGGGAAGCTTGCTCCAGACAATGCCCTTTCTGTGTCTCCTGATCAGAGGCAGCCCAGATTGGGTGCTCTGTAACGGCTTCCTGCAACGGACTTGGGCCGTGATCCCACTGGTCTTACTTGCACCAATGGCTATTCTTCCTTTGTTCTTCCTTCTCTTTCGCTCTGGCCTAGGGACTTGCACCCCAGATGTGTATTCGTCCTTGGGTCTCCCCTGTAACTGTTCACCTCCCTCCCAGGAGTTTGTGAACACGAAAGGAGGCAGGAGCAGAACCCATCCCTCCGCCAAGCCTTCCTGGGTAGCTGTGATCGTGCGGGTCCACCTAGAAATGGGGTCGCATTCCTGAATCCTCCCCCCCCCCACCCCACTGAATAGGTACACTAGCTCATGTCTATAATTGAGTATTCATTAACACTAGAGAAGTAGGCTTCCCTGATGGGGCTTCCAGGAGAGAATCACACGAACCACTCTGCGACGCAGTTCAAAACTGATAATATGTAACATAAATTTATTTGTCAGTGGCCCAAGGTTAAAAATGCTTTGAAAACCTTGGATCGAGGTGTAGCATAGTTATTTAGTGGGTCCCTTATTTTCGACCTGACCTAACTAGTCACGTCGCCCCCTTCTCTTAAGCTTCTCTACATGTGTGTTGGTGTGGGGATTAGTGGATGACATCATTATGACCTGACCTCATGTTTAATAAGGTCAACCTGTATATTTAAGCCTCTCTCTGTCCATGTAATCTAGTTGCCTCTGAAGATGTCTTGAATAAAGACGAAAGCTAAGGTACTCCGTTGCTTCTTTTTTCCCTTGTGATTTTATCAAGATTTATCTTATCCATGTTTTCATTGTGGATATATATATGTATATATATATATATATATATATATATATATATATATATATATATATATATATATATATATATATATATATATATATATATATATATATATATATATATATATATATATATACACACAGTCAACCCTCGCTTTACGCGGTCCCACTTTACGCGGTACACTGCCGAAACCAGAATCCTCACTTTCCGCGGTGTGTGTACCTTTTTACGCTGAGAGCGGCACGAGCAGGGTGCGCACAAGGTCGCCCAGTCATCAAAACATTACCGAGTTCTTCACCCGCCACCCACCACAGCCGGCCCAAGTCAGTGATAGTAGTAATGATAGTGAGGATATGGACTTATATGGACTTTGAGAGGTTTGACAAAGAGGCCCTGCAAGCCTTTGTGGTGGATAGTGATACAAGTGATACAGGTGAGGGCCAATAATCTGCCCTCTGCCTCGGAACCAACCCCCCACCCCCGTGTGCCCAGCCATCTTTTCTACTAATTTAAGTGTTAAAAAACCTAATATTATTGATATTTCTCTTAATTATTAATTGTGTGTGCATACCATCATAAAATTAAGAAGTTATTTTTACTACAACGTAGGTATTGTGTCTGAAAAAGTGGAGTTTGGGGGTCGGCCCGGTCTCTATTTCAATTAATCCCATATGTTATGTTGTTCACTTTACACGGGCCGCTGAATATCATAAATACTGAAGTAAAGTGACCCATTTGGTCGATAAATATATGCCCAAGACCAAACCCAGTGCCTCTAGGAATACGAGGGGATTCCTACACATGAACCATGCAGCGGTCGACAAAGTTAAGAAGAAAACCCAGAAATTCAAGACGTGAGTTCAGGTACATTCAGGAGCCGGTGCATGCCCGGTACTTGCCAACAGTGCATAACAGAGACTTGACTGATCAACCAAGCGGCTAACGAGCCGATCTTTTTGTGAAGAGGATAAAAGAAAAGGAAAAGTAATCAGAGGCGTGACCGATCGCCCAAGCGGCTAACGCAGCCGATCAGTGGTGAAGAGGGTAAAAGATGTGATACGCCTGTAGTGGATACCTTCCCTACAAACGCTGTTTGTCGCTGAGCAGCCGACCCCACGAATTCCCCAGTGTATGCCTTGTGGTCTAGGTCAACCAGCGCCGCCTTACAGGACGGAGGTCAACTATTAAGCCACGCCTACCTCCGCTATATAAGACCTGACCTCGTGGTGACCTACCTCTTTCGACCTACACCAACCAACAAGCTACACCTCATCCTCCACTCCTGCCTGGCGGCCCTCGCTCCCGCCGGCGAGCATGGCGACCCACAAGCTGGTCCCCCTCTGAGCACCCTCACCAACCAGCTCTCTCTACATCACACTTGTAACCACGCTGCCACTTCCCAGCAACAAGCTGCATTGTACATCCAATACAACATGTATACAGAGAGCACATTGTGGCATCATGTTCTTCATCACCAGTCTTGTGCCATTGCAGAGGATTGGTGGTTCAAGATTTCTTAAGAGCATTATAGGAGCTCCAATCTTGAGAGTGAGGTGGTGAAGAGGCATTCCAGCGGGCTCCAAAGAATTAAGGAATTCTGCCGGGTACTGGACTGCTTGGTCCTGGTCGATTACTGTATCAACAGATTTGAATGAGGTCTCACTGCCAGAATTGCACGTTCACGCAGCCACTTGTGATCCTTGTAGTGGTGGATAATGTTTGGGTAGACCATGTTAGTAAGCTCGGTTGAGGACTTTACAACATTTCCACATCCTTGAGGAATGATTATTTGTCCTTCTGAATCAACAGGGAAAGTTCCATTCCCAATCTGCAGTAGAAGGTTTGCAAACCGTCCAGCATCCTGATCTCCTTGTAGATATACTCTCATGTTTGTGGATAGGGTGAGTGTCTGAACACTTCTCTAAAGGTATGATGCCTTGAGGCACGCATTCAGTTCATCAGCTGGAGTGCTTCGAGGAATGACAGGTAGGGTCTGGCGAAAATCTCCAGCAATGACCATTGTAATGCCACCCATGAGATGGTCATTTTCTCATATGTCTTGCAAGGTCCTGTCCAATGCTTCAAACGCTAACTTGTGAGACATTGTGCATTCATCCCAGACTATGAGGCTACATTTTTCTAAGAGTTTTGCCTTTGCCGAACCTTTTTTGATGTTGTACACTGAATTCTCATTGTGAGCGAGGTTGAGAGGCAGTTTAAAAGTTGAGTGTGCAGTACGTCCTCTTTCTAGTAGTGTTGCAGCAGTGCCTGAGGATGCCACAGCAAGAGCAATTTTCCCCTGATGACGTTGTGGGGGTACGAGTTGTTTGGATGCACACTCAGGATGGGATGGAGAAAGGAAACTCACAATGTGCTCTCTGTATACATATTGTATTGGATGTACAATGTAGCTTGGTGCTGGGAAGGCAGCATGGTTACAAGCGTTGAGTAGAGAGAGCTGGTTAGTGAGGATGCTCAGAGGAGGACCAGCTTGTGGGTCGCCATGCTCGCCGGCGGGAGCGAGGACCGCCAGGCAGGAGGTGGAGGTGTTGCTGGCTGGTTGGTGTAGGTAGAAAGAGAGTGGTCACCACGAGGTCAGTTGATCCCCGCTCCGTGGGCGGCGCTGGTTGACCTAGACCACGAGGCATACACTGGAATTCGTGGGGTTCGGCTACTCAGCGACAAACAGCGTTTGTAGGGGAGAAATCCACTACAACGTACTTAGGCCAACAGAAGGTTGATCAGGGTAGTTGAGGTGCCGAAGTGCAGGCACCAGTCTGGTGGCCTCCTTTGAACATTTTCAACCAACTGACAGTCCCTAGCGTGCCCTCTTCAAAACTGAAAGCCGGTAAGTTGTTTCAAGCAGTCTCTATTCTAATTGATTATAGATATTTATGTTTTTTTCAGAAAAGTCCTAGAACATTAGAAACCAATTGTTTCATTAATTCTTGTCGTAGCTAATTTTTGTCCTCGAGGTGAACCCGTTTAACTTGGCATTTTAATTTACAAGATGATTATGGAGTTGAATTAATCTCTTAAATTGTAGGCCTACAGTCGGGGTCAAAAGTCCTGTCGCCTCTCCTGCTGCTCCACGAACAACAACGCCTCTTCTGCTGCTCCACGAACAAGACTCAGACTGTGACCCCAAAGCGGGAAATTTAAATTTAAATACTTTATTGACCATAAAAATATTACATCAAAAGGACAGGGTAGTATACTACTCCCACCCTCACCTTTGCCACCCCCTTCTGGGGTTTACAAAAAGTTATAAATGTTAATACAATAATTATTTTAATTCTTGCAATGTATAAAAATTTTGCTCCAAGGGTATGGCATTTAATATTGTGTTGGATTACATTATCTGTTCTTTAATGTAGTACAATGTTCATGCCAAAATGAACTATTTGATCCAACAAACTAGCTTCTTTAACCAAAGTGGGAGACGCTGATGCATTATTCTGTCCACGGAGGCTTCGGGTTCACGAGTCTGAACCTTGGGGTTGGTGGAGCAGCTGGAATGTTGACAGGACTTTTGACCCCATCTGTACCATTGGACTGTACATTATATACAGTACTTATTACAATGCCATAAGAATATGATTAACTTGAGATGAGTAAGTAGATAAAGCAAGGGCGTTACAAAAGATGATCATCTGAGCCAGTAGTCTAGGAACTGCGCCGCTGCGGGTCTCAGGTACCTGTGAGTGGGGTTGGTACTTGGGTTGGGTATTCAGTAGTGGAGGGACCGTGCAGGTGGCAGCAGGCAAAAAATACGATGGCGACAGTACGTCAAGACGAACTTAATGTCGTTGAACAATGTGTAATTGACCTGTACAACGTTGGGGTGGTCAAGTTTGGGAGCTTTACCCTGAAGAGTGGCATGCTGTCTCCTGTCTACTTTGACCTACGGATTATAATCTCCTTTCCCAAACTTATGGTAATTAAGATATTGTAGAGTACAACATTTCTGGGGGGAGGATAACCACGAGTTGCTACCGTTAGACTAATGTTGAAGTTTAACCCTCACCTTTATTTATGTTTTGTTGGCTTCAAAGTTTTTGACTTAGAAAATAAATCGGCAGCAAGCAAAGCAAAATTTATTTTGAATTTAATTACAAAATTGAAAGTGGATATCCTACAGGCATGACGGCCCATGATGATAGTGTGGTGGTTCTCCCGAATTTTTATCCGGCAAACCATATACAGTATTGAGTCATTGGTTATTTGAAAAGACGGGTTATTTTTCTTTATCCACCCATCACCTAATAATTCTTTTCGTTAGTTTTGGTAAATTTTCACTAATGTACCGGTCTTTGTTTGGATATTAAAAATATGTTTTTCCGATGTTATTTGATGAGTTTCGAACGAATTTAATATTTATTTCAGCCGGAAATCAATAGTATTTGAGAACTTCCCTCCCCCCCATCCTACCCTTTAATCTTAACGAAAATGTATTTTTTTCGAGTAAATCACAAATAAAAAACCAACAAAACCAAACCTAACCTGACCTAACCTAACCTAACACTATTTTTCTGACAAAACTCTGCAATTGACATAAAATAATCTCTCACATTGTCGGCACAGCTCTTTCCACCTGTTCAGCCATATCTGGTTATTCTGGTACTTTGCAGATGCCCCTGGGAGTGTCCTTTGAGGTGCCTCCGTCCCTGGGAGGGTCTGGGATGGTCCCTGGAGGCTCCGCTGCCCCTGGAATGGTCCCTGGGCACTCCTTTTCCCACGAGAGGGACCCCAGGTGCCCAACCGCCCCTGGGAGGGACCTCTGGGGGCGCCACCGACCCTGGGAGGGTTTCCGGTGCGCCACTGCCCCTCGAGGTCTCTGGGATGGCCCCTGGGGGCTGCGCGCACCCATGCATTGTTCATTGGCTAATACAAAAAACTCGCCCAATTATAAGTCGTATTACCATAGCCAATAAGAAACTCCCACAACATGCCCCGTACATGCGCTGTAGACTCTTTAAGAAGCCAATACGGAGGTAAGAAGCACTGCGTGATGGGTGGTCAGACCTTCTCTGTGAGACGTAAACAACAAATGGCGACACTTGTGACTGACCAAATCTAATAATATTGAAAAATTAATATCTCGGTTAACCATAATTTACCGGCAGAAATATCCTAGAAGAAAAATGTCTTAGAATTGTCAAAACATTACGAAAAACATATTAATAACAGCGAGAGAAAGACCGGTGTAAGACTATAAATTTCACACTAGTTTTCTTGCTGTTTTAGGCAAATCACTTATATTTTTTTTTTTTTTTTATATATAGTTAGGTTAGGTTGGTTGGTTGGTTGGTTGGTTGGTATGAGAATAGGTTAGGTTAGGTTGGTTAGTTCCTTTGGTATGAGAATAGGTTATTTTTGGTGTCGTGCTCAAATCTGACCTCCATTTTTTTGCAAATTTGCAGTTTCTGTTAAAACAAAAATGTTCATATTTTGCAAAAAAATAAATAAAAATTAATTTGTGCAAAAATTGAAGGTTAGAATTGAGCAAGACACCAAAAATAACCTATTCTCATACCAAAGGAACCAACCTAACCTAACCTATTCTCATAACAGGAACCAACCAACCTAACCTAACCTATTCTCATACCAAAGGAACCAACAACCAACCTAACCTAACTATAAAAAAAAATATATATATATATATATAGCTCCTCCCCGACTTATGACAGGGTTAGGTACCCAAATCCAGGTCGTAAGTCGAAAATGCTTAAATAATACATAGAAAATCTAAAATGGGTGTCTCTTTTTCTTCTCAGCACCACAAAACTCTCACTTTTATGCTTGCCAGCCATTTTAAAGTGAATTACAAACGAAAATTTTGTCTGAGTACTGACGTTGGGACTCAAAAATATGTAATTTGACAAAATTTTGGTACGACTGAGCCAGGTCGTAAGTGTGAGTGGTCGTAAGTCGAGTAGGTCGTAAGTCATGGAGGAGCTGTATACAGTGGTCCCTCGGTTAACGAACACAATTCGTTCCAGAAGGTAGTTCGTTAACCGAAACCATTGTTTCAATGGGATTTTGGGTAATTGGTTCCAGCTCACCGAAAATTGCAAACAAAGTAAAAATAAATGCATTTAAGTACACTTACTTTGAGGTGTAAAAGTGTGCATGTAGAAGGCTCCTGGTTGATGATGATGATGATGGGAATTAGAAGTGGGGGTGGAGGAGAAGGGAGAAGAGCAGGAAGTGAGGGTGGAAGAGAAATCACCCCATGCTTCATTCCGTCATTTCACCCATAAAATTTTAAGTTCACTAGGTGTAATTCAAGATTATTTTCTTTAAATCACCACTGCACTACGCTATATATTTTCAGTGTGTAAAATAAATTTCAGAATGACCAATAATTGTACTGTAAAAACGTAAAAGTAGTTTGTATGTATGGACGGAAACGATCTTCCTGCTCGTTACCTCTGCTAACTCTCTCGTTTGCTGGTGCGACCAACACTTGGGGGGGTTGGATAGAGGTGAGAACGGCAGCGGCTACCTGTGTCACAGGCAGATCCTGCTCAGCCATGAGTGCAGTCACTATCTTCCCCCGCTGTTCGTCAAATTCTGGCTGTGATCTTATCATAGGACTCCTGGACTCGTGGGCTGTTTTCCCAGACCTTCACAATTCGTCTGTTAATCTCTGGACACCTACCCCAAACCACTACCGAAGCCGCCACGACCGCCAGCTCCTCTCCACCGTCTGTGCCCCTGTGTTTCGTCTGCTGTATCAAGACATCGGCCGCTGTCGCTCGAGTGAGGAGTTGAATGGACGCTTCCCCCTGAGAGTGGATCACTGTGTTCTGTAACCTTCCCCAGGGCCACTGCCGTAGGAAATATCTGTTCATTGTTTGATTCTATTGTTTGATTACTTTAATTGCTGACTCCCATTAATTGTTCGCTTCCCTTTAATTGTTTGCTTCCCTTAATTGTTTGCTTCTTTTAATTATTTGACTCCATTAACTGTTTACTGCATTAATTGTTTGACTCCCGTAATTGTTACTTGATGCTTGTTGAGTGGTGTCAGAGTTTTGTGTTATATTTTTTATAGTAAAGAGATGTCAATCTCAAACGGTTGTTTGTTATTCCTCGGAAAACCATGGTCCTTGACTTTCCTTTATTAAGATCCTGATTAGTCTAGTAAGGGATTTCTATCCCTAAGTCCCAGGCCTTTACAATGTTCAAGAGAGTCTCAAGCAAGATGTTACCTCCACTGAGCAGAGACACAAACTGACGCCATGCTAGGTGAGTCAAGTGGCCGTTTGGCGCCCTAAAAACTAGTTTCCTGTACTTCAATTATGTTAAATAATTGTTAAAATTACTAAAAAATTTAATATAAAACTTGGAAAATTATTGAATAGTACAACCTTCTTGATATTTACTCAAATGGGAACGAATTTGAGCCCTAGAACCGATTACTGTATTGGCGGACTAATATTCCAGCTGGTGAGCAAGCGAAAACATGTTGAGAGGAATTCGTAAAGAATTCGTTAACCGAACTGAAGATTCTTATGGATGGTAATTCGTTAACCGAGGGATCACTGTAATATATATATATATATATATATATATATATATATATATATATATATATATATATATATATATATATATATATATATATATATATATATATATATATATATATATATATATATATATATATATATATATATATATATATATATATATATATATATATATATAATAATATATATATTATATATATATACATTATATATATATATATATATATATATATATATATATATATATATATATATATATATATATATATATATATATATATATGTATATATATACACACACACACACACACACACACACACAAAGGTCCCTCGGTTAACGAAATTTTGGTTGACGAGTTACCTTCCATAAGATTCTCAACTTCGGTTAACGAGCAATCCCTCGATTAACGAGTTTCTTACGAGCCGACCTCGACATGTTTTCGTTTGCATTTGGCGGTCCACCAGCTGTAGTATTAGTCCGCCAATACAGTAATCGGTTCTAGGGCTTAAATTCCTTACCATTTTAGTAAATATCAAGAAGTTTATACTATTCAATAAGTTTAAAAGTTTAATATTAAATTTTTTAGTCATTTTAACAATTATTGAACATAATTGAAGGTAAGGAAACTAGTTTTATGCGCGCCATCGAGCCTGTCAACACACCAAACAGGCGCCAGTCTCTCTGTCTTTTCAGTGGAGGTAACATCTTGCTTGAGACTCTCTATAACATAAACGCTTTTTTCTGTGTTTGCTAGCAAATTATTGGTCATTTTGAAATTTATTTTACATATTGACAATATATAATGCAGCGCAGTGTTGATTTAAATAAAATAATCTTGAATTACACCAAGAGAACTAAAATTTTATGGGTGAAATGGCGGCATGGGGTGACTTCTCTTCCACCCCAATTCCTTCTCTTCTCCCTTCTCCTCCACCCCCATTCTAATTCCCATCATCATCATCATCCAGGAGCCTTCTACATACATACCTCAAAGTTCCGGTAAGTGTATTTTACTGCATTTTTTTTTTTTACTTTGTAATTTTTGGTGAGTTGGAACCAATTACCCAAAATCCCTTTGAAACAATGGTTTTGGTTAATGAAATTTTTGGTTAACGAACGACCTTCTGGAACGAATAGTGTTCGTTAACCGAGGGACCACTGTGTAAAAGTAAAGGGGTGACATGTAGGATTCCAGCATTTGACCACGGACGGTTAAGGAACCCTGGGCTTAAGGGGGGGGACGGGCCCCATGGGCCCACCCCTTTGGTGCGCTAGTGGCTACAGGTGACGCAGTCAACTTTTCACCCAAGTGGAGCATCACTTTGTTCGTCAACTTCTAAAATTTTCGAATTTTCCAAGTTCGATTTTCAATTATCTTGTTATAAAGACGACCGACAAGGCCATGAGGGAGTTGTTCATCAAATACAACACCCCCATCCCCTCTAGTGGTGCAGTGGAGCGCATGTTCTCTGTGGGCAAGGACGTCTTGAGGCCCAAGCACAGCAGAATGAGCGACAAGCATTTTGAGATGCTAGTATTCTTGCGGGGGAACAAATGAATAATTAAAATGATGTAATATAAATCATAATGAAAGATTAAAAATGAATTAATATTTTTTGATTTTGCATATGTTACTTCCATACACAGGAGAATACGTGTTTCGGGGCTGCTTTTGTACGTCACTGAAAATTCGTTGACGCTGATGCTAACGGCGTCAATTATGAAATTGCTGACGGCATCAAATTTCTCGGCCGTTTACGCTAACTCTGTCGGTGCCACTTTTTTTGTTGTTGACTCGTACAACACTGACCGTGCTATGGTATTAAATTAAAAAGTCATGAAATAAGAGGGCTGCTATATGTATAGTATTGTGAAGAGAATTCAGGTGCATGTTATTTGTCTCTGTGATATTTATTGATCATAAATAATTTCCTGAACTGCTTTTAGAGTAGTGCAGGTAAAACCAGCCTTTGGGTTCAGGCAGGATCATTTGTTTGTCATGTCTTGAGAATAAAGACATTATCATTTACATACGGTATAGTACAGTATACAGTATAGTCTCGGTTTACGCGGTCAATTAAACCCATGGAGGTCCGCGTAAAACGAGAAACGCGTAAACGAAATAACAGAACATATGGGATGAATTGAAATAGAGACTGGGCCGACCGCCAGACTACCCTTTTTCCGACACAATACGTACGTTGTAGTAAAAATGACATCTTAATTTTATGATGGTATGCACACACAATAATTAAGAGAAATATCAATAATATTAGGTTTTTTAACACTTACGTTAGTAGAAGAGATGGCTGGGCACGGGGTTGGGGGGTTGGTTCCGAGGCAGAGGGCAGATTATTGGCCCTCACCTGTATTACTTGTATCACCTGTATCACTATCCACCACAGAGTCTAGCAGGGCCTCCTTGTCAAACCCCTCTAAGTCCATATCCTCACTGTCACTGACTTGGGCTGGCTGCGGTGGGTGGCGGGTGACGAACTCGGTAATGTTTTGTTGACTGGGCGACCTAGCGCGCACCCTGCCTGCGCCTCTTCCCGCTTAAATGATGGAATGTACCTCGTAACTAATAATTGGCGCATCTGGCCAGGTGCTGTGTAAATGACCAACCACATAAAGGAAATCCGTGTAAATCGAGACTATACTGTACTGTATATTTATTTCTTTTACACCCTTGTCTAAGATGCAACTGTAAGTAAGTCAAGTGTTATACCAATTCTATAGTTGTATGCTTTCCTTTGAGTAGGATACTGGTCTGTCATTTGTAGGGAAGAATATTTTTTTATTAAATTTAGACCAAATTCTTTACTTATTTCTGTCAATTTCTTTAGTTTACTTATCTGTTCTACAGCTTTGGTTGACAACTGATCACAATGGTTGTCTTTGAAATTTTTTTTCAGCCAATTTTTTATAATACTGTATATCTCTAAAAATTCTTTTGTACTGACAGGAGACAGTAGCAGAAGTGATGTGGGCCAAACGACCTGGAAATCAATACAAATTAGTGTGTGGAGTTGCATACACAGGCTTGCCTATTGCTACAGTCATATCCACCAAACAGGTACGTAATATCATATATACAGTGATCCCTCGGTTAACGAAATTTTGGTTAACGAATTACCTTCCATAAGATTCTTCACTTTGGTTAACGAATTCCTTACGAATTTTTCCCAACATGTTTTCGCCTGCATTTGGCTGCCCACCAGCTGTAGTATTAGTCCGCCAATACAGTAATCGGTTTTAGGGCTTAAATTCCTTACCATTTTAGTAAATATCAAGAAGGTTGTACTATTCAATAATTTTAAAAGTTGTATATTAATTTTTTTAGTCGTTTTAACAATTATTGAACATAATTGAAGTACAGGAAACTAGTTTTTTGCGCACCAAACAGCCACTCAACACACCAAGCATGGAGTCAGTTTGTTTACCAGTTCAGAGGAAGGAACATCTTGCTTGAGACTCTCTTCAACATAAATGCTTTTTTTATGTGTTTCCAGTCAAATTATTGGTCATTTTGAAATATATTTTACATATTGATAATATATAGCGCAGTGCAGTGTTGATTTAAAGAAATTAATCTTGAATTACACCAAGTGAACTAAAATTTTATGGGTGAAATGGTGGCATGGGGTGACTTCTCTTCCACCCCAATGCCTTCTCTTCTCCCTCTTCCTCCACCCCCATTCTAATTGCTATCATCATCATCAACCAGGAGCCTTCTACATGCACACCTCAAAGTAAGTGTACTTTACTGCATTTATTTTTAGTTTGTATGTAATTTTCAGTGAGCTGGAACCAATTACCCAAAAACTCATTGAAACAATGGTTTCGGTTTACGAATTTTTCGGTTAACGGGCAACCTTCTGGAACGAATTGTGCTCGTTAACCGAGGGACCACTGTACAAGCTTTTTCAATACAGGTTGACAACCCTTTATCCGAAATTCCGAAAACCGAAAAGCTCTAAAAACCAAAAGTTTTGTGGTGGGGCTGCTTTATATATATATATATATATATATATATATATATATATATATATATATATATATATATATATATATATATATATATATATATATATATATATATATATATATATATATATATATATATATATATATATATATATATATATATATATATATATATACACACACAGTGGTCCTCTATTACGCGGTCCCGCATTTTCACCGTTAACGCGGTGCCTTGCCAACCTAACATTTTCACATTCCGCGGTCGTGAACCCCATTACGCGGAGAGCGGCTGGCAAGCCGCGCCATTTTTGGATCCAAACCTCCCGCCATCCGCCATGTTGTGTAAGAGGCGCGAAAATGGTGCGCACAAGGTCGCCCAGTCATCAAAACATGACCAGTTCTTCACCTGCCACCCACTACAGCCGGCCCAAGTCAGTGATAGTGATAATTATAGTGAGGATATGGACTTATATGAACTTTGGGGGGTTTGACAAAGAGGCCCTGCAAGCCTCTGTGGTGGATAGTGATACAATTGATACAGGTGAGGGCCAATAATCTGCCCTCTGCCTCGGAACCAACCGCCCATCCCCGTGTGCCCAGCCATCTTTTCTACTAATGTAAGTGTTAAAAAACCTAATATTATTGATATTTCTCTTAATTATTAATTGTGTGTGCATGCCATCATAAAGTTAAGATAATATTTTTACTACAACATAGTTGTGTGTCGTCAAAAAGTGGAGTTTGGGGATCGGCCCGGACTCCATTTCAATTAATCCCATATGTTATGTTATTCACTTTACGCATTTCTCACTTTCCGCGGTACCCTCCGGGTTACATTAACCGCGTAATATGAGGACCAACTGTGTGTGTGTGTGTATATATATATATATATATATATATATATATATATATATATATATATATATATATATATATATATATATATATATATATATATATATATATATATATACAGGGATTATTAGCCCACCCAGGCACAGATCACTGACCCACATCGGGGCCTGGGGGGCAAAAATGTAATAGTAATAATAATTATAATAATAATAATTATTCATAGTAAATAAAATTTAATAATACACCAAAATAAAATAATAATGATTACAATAATAATAATAATAGTAAAATACAATAATAAAATTAATAATAATAATAATAACAATAATACTGTAATAATAAAATAATAATACAGTAAAGAAATACAAGAATGAAAGAAAAGATCAAAAGTGAGAAACATGACCTAGACCTATGAATTATTATTATTATTATTATTATTATTATTTTTATTTTTATTATATTTTCGACCCCCAAGCCCCAATGTGGGTCAGTGATCTATGCCCAGGTGGGCTAATACACATTAAAAAAAAAAAGGAAAAAAAACCCTAACCATTCTGAAAACCGAAAAATTCCGAAAACCGAAATGCCTCTGGCCCCAAGGATTTTGGATAAAGGATTGTCAATCTGTATATGCTATTCCTTCACATATGTTACTTGAAAAGGTGTAGGGTAATTGTCTCCCAGGTGAGGGGGTCGATTTGGCATGAAGTAGCTCCCATAAGGATTTTCAATTTCGTTAACGAACAAAACTTCGATTAACGAAAGCCTTACGAGAAACACGCTTTGTTGTGCGCATCAGCTGGACAGCTAGTCCGCCAATACAGTAATTGGTTCTATGTTTACATTCATTTCCAGTGGAGTAAATATCAAGAAAATTGTGCTCTTGAATATTTTTGCATTTTTTATATTAAAATTATTGGTTATTCTAATTTAGTTAACATATTGATAATACAGGTACTCCTTGACTTATGACCTACTCGACTTTCGACCACCCGGACATACGACCGCCGCAGTCATATAAAATATTTTTCAAATTACGTATTTTCGAGTCCCGACATTAGTGATAGCGCTGTGTACTGACAAAATTTTTGTTTGTAATTCCCTTTAAAATGGCTGGCAAGCGTAAAAGTGAGAGTTTTCGTTGTACTGAGAAGAAAGAGAGACACCCATTTTAGATTTTCTATGTACAGTATTATTTTTGCATTTTCGACTTACGACCAATTCGACTTATGACCTGGTCGTCGGTCCCTAACCCCGTCGTAAGTCGAGGACTGACTGTAAAGGAATCAATCTTCAGATTTCAGAGAAGAGGAAAATAAATTCAATTTAGAATCATCCTCTCCCCCATTTTAAGTTGTCTTGTACGAAGTTGGCAAATATGAAAGCCATTGCAATTTATTAACTTTTTCCTCTTCAGGGTGTTCCTATGCTGATTCGGCGTAAAGAAAGAAAAGGATACGGCACCAAGAAAATGGTGGAAGGAAACTTTGAAGCAGGCCAAAAGTGTCTCATGATAGAGGACGTCATTGTGTCTGGCAGCTCAGTGTATGAGACAGTTGAGGTACAATCTGTGGGACAGTTTAAATAAGCAAGGATTACAGTGAATTTTCTTTATTCCCATTAATGACTGGACTCTTTTCACTGTGCCACTCTCTGATGCTTGACTTGAAAGAGCAGGTTATCCTTCAGGGTTTCTTATTTTTTTTTGTTAATTTCCTGCCTTCATTATTTATCCTATATCTTTTCATGACACCCCCTACACCACCTCTAATTTTCTTTCGTTATCTGTTTATATCTTAGGACTATGGGGATTTTGATTAATTTTTCTTTGGACCTAACTTAAAGATAGCTATAATTTGTTGTATTTTGTAGCTAGATGTACAGGTACTTAACCACAAAACCAAAATCTTTGGAATTGGAGGGTTTTTGGTTTTCAGGATGAAAGGCCAAGCAAATATAGTTGCCTCGAAAGGTTCCTTCCCCCCAGGGGTGATGTTTACGTAATGTGGCAGCGTTGCAATGCCAAATTTATAATGAATGTGTTGTAGTCTTGAAAGGTGGAGCTGATTGCTGGACAAGTTTGGGTGTTGGATGTCATTAGATGGGGGTTGGGGAGGGGGTCCCTGCCCCAGAGGTAAAATTGTGAGGGTTACTCTACTGCCATAATATCATGCTAAATAAGAAACCCTTCTTGAACCTGTTTTGATATTTCATGGTGGCTCTGAGCACACCTGTGAAAACAATCCCCACCTTTGCCACGACCAAATAAAACTTCTAGATTTCACTGTACAGTATAACTATTTATTGATAGTCATATGCCTTCAGGTGGTGTCACTGTGGGAGTGATAGGTCACTGTATGGGTGCTTGGTCGAATCTAACATGGGCCGAGATGCAATCATTCATAGGATTGATCATATCAAAAGTATTCTAGAGTTAGTAGGTTATGGGATGTGGGTTTTGATATAAAATTGTCTCTTTTGTGTATCGGTAAGATATGACATGACAAACTTAATCAGTAAGAGTTGTCTTCTGATAAACATTAGGTGCACCTTCAATGCAGGACCATGGGGGACATTTACTGTAACTTTTGGCATGTTAATACTACCATCCTATTGTAACTGTGTTTTATTTGTGGGGCCGTCTTTGTATGCTTTGTATACGGGCAGGCACGCCCAATAAACATGTCATGACTTACAGCCTAACATAATGTTTGTTTGTGTGTCATCCTACTGATTACTTCTTGCGGTAACATAAAGACAAAAGCTAAGGTGCTCCAGTGTAGTTAGTTGATCGAGAGGTAGCAATGAACAACACACTCGGTGAAAGCAGGACACAGACTGAGTGGATGTAAACAAATTTGACATGCCAAGTGACATGTGGCACGTTTAGTGCAGAATTTAACAATATCACGCTTGATTAAGTGAAATAGTTTGGTAAATCGAGGGGTGGCTCGAATTTGTGAAATGATAATTTTGAAGTGACCATAGTTGGATATATTTACATCATTCTAAAACATAGTATTATTTATTGGGGGCAGCCCTCATGACTCCGTGAACCCCCCTCCTCTCTTCTTCACAGAGCAATGATATGTCTTCGCACCACCACCACTGTCCATTTTTACCATACACAGTATATCAGACTGTCAATCAGCTTGTTAGCAAATAATCGCCCTAACCATGACAATGATAAGTATTCATATAAAATCTCGGCTTTCATATTCAATGAAGGTTTGAACGTGGCAAGCATTAGATGTGTAACGATAAGGGTAAATCAATATTGTGAGTTCTTGCTGTTAGCATGAAGGTAACCTATCAACAGCTCAAATGAGGCTTTGAGGGTGGTGGTATGATGGGGGGGGGGGGTCCTGCCCCAGTGGTAATGTTGTTCTCTGCCTCATTGCCATGATCCTGCATTGATCCTTTATTGGAGGGGATATTTTGCTACTTAGTAAATGGAACTAATGTACGTAAGATAATAGAGATACAGGTATTTCAATTACCGGTATTTTTGCACCATTAGAAAGCTGGAACTTTTTTCTATAAATTCATGCAGTACCTGTATTTAGTAAATAAATATGAGAAATAATTATTTCTTGGAGAAATCACAAGTTGAACTGGGAGTACTTTTTTTCCGGCTCTGGAGTGCGCCGCCAGTGTCATCATAGAAACCAGACAACAACATAGCCACAAGTGCACCCAAACAATGGCACAAATAACCTAAACATCAAATGATGTCCTCTGCCCTTTACATGCTTTCCTCTCAAACATCATATGATGTCTGACGGTGTCAGGGTTGAGCACCTGTGCTTATTTCATGCCATTTAATTGTGGATGGAATAAGATTGACAAAGAATAGTTCTGTAAGATAGCATGTATTTTCACTATACGTACCTGTACTGTATTTTTGTTACTTGATTTAAATGCTAACATATGTGTCCCAGTCATTCTCTAAATGTAGGTAATTCAATACTGGAGATTAATTACAGTACAGTACTGTATTCTGATGTAATATCTGCTTTGAAGTTTTTAAGATTATGCTAATAGACTTTTTTATTTTTTTATTTTTTATTTATTTTTTATATTTTTTGCTAAGGAACTTGTATAAATAATTTTTGATGGTGTAAGTTGAATATTTGCAGACCCTACAAGAATTACAGTTGAGTGTACAAGATGCCGTGGTGTTCCTGGACCGTCAGCATGGTGCTACAGCAAATCTCTCGGCAATGGGCATCAATGTTGTTTCTGTTGTTACAATGACTGAGGTGAGCCATACTGCCAATGAGAATTCATTTGGCTCTTAGAACTGATTAAAGTTTTATCTTAGCACTCTTGGATTAGCACATCAATACCATATAAATATATATATTTTTTTTTTTACGGGGATTAGCCCACCCGGGCACAGGTCACTGACCCACATCAGGGCCTGGGGGGCGAAAATGTAATAATAATAATAATAATAATAATAATAATAATAATAAAGAACCATAAAGAAATACAAAAATTAAAAAAAAGATCAAGAGTGAGAAACATTATATGTATGTTGAGTTGTCAAATTAAGAGAAACAATTGAGACCCTGCAATTGTGTGTAAATGAGGCAGAAAATCAGATCAGCAACCTGTGACTTGGTCACCATTTTTGTGATGCCATATGGCACCAGGGTCTACCATTAGACAACACATTATGCTTCCAATATCTTCCCAGGCAGTAGTACCTCCTTGTTTAATAGCTGCCTACTACCTACTTATGATGGGGCAATGTGAATGGTTCTGTATTATACAGGTATGGTTACAGGTATTTTAAAATCTCTCAATAACAAAATTCTGGAGTCTGGAATTGAAAAAATTTTCAAGTATTTTTTTGGATATATCTTTCATTTTCCAGTGCCGTCTTTTTTTGTCTCAACACATGGCGTGTTACATGTGTACAGTATATATGCTGCCTGGGTAGTGTCCCCTCACCACCCATTCCACCCACACACCATTCCTATTGGCCAGCCTTGCCAAGAGAAGTTGTGATTGGTTGCCACAAGCTGCCAAACTAGCCTCTGCTAGACTCGGCATAGCTAACAATGTTTACAGGAGAAGCTTTAGTAAATGTTATACTGTTAAACTCATTAATATTTCAATAAACATTAAACTTGCATATATTCACTTTTTTAAACCATAAAAAAGTATTTTATAAACTTCTTTGCAAGGAAGTGACACAACTCTTCCCAACAATCATCTTCCATCTTACACTCATGGTTCTGTAAAGGGAGATACAATCAGTACCAACACATACCAGTAGTAAATTAAAAAAAAATAAAAAATATGGTAATTAGTCAGTAAAAATATGCCTTCGTTACTACAAAATATGTTCTCCCACATTCACACCACCACAGAAAATGGGAAGCCAAAAACAGTGGTAGTTAAACAGTATTCCATCATTTATATGTATTTTCAAACTTGACACACTTACACTGCCTATCCTCATATAATAGAATAAAAACTTACCTTATTTATTTGGATGATAGATGATAAAAAATCTCATAGAATGATCGGCAATAGCTGAGCTCGGGGGTCAAGCATTGTCTGCGACTCTGCATGTTTGTGTTGTGGTTGAGCCTTTTATCGAAAGATGGCAGCACGACCCAGGGCTGGTGTGCATTCAAACTCTTGGAACATAGTCGATTTAAGCAAGGAATAAAAAAAAAAAATTATGCCATGGACTACAATCGATTTTCCTGGTGTAGCACAATAATTTTAAATTTGATTACAGCCAGTTTGCACAGTAAAAGGGTTAATATATTCTATAAATTAATATTTTCAATATAAACCTAGCAGGTATTTAAATACTGTATAAGTAAACCCTTCCAGTACTGTACCAGACCCTTTCTATTATTGGGAGGTTTCCATATTTCTCATTCTCAACCATCAAAATTCATATTTCATGAAGAAACTAATATACAGGATACAGTATTTCTTACTTTTTTGGCATTATTTTAGAAAATCAAATCATTAATTGGAAAAAAAATAAATTTTGCATTGCCATCACTACTTAGCCTTTATAAACAATTTCCTCCACCATATCAGGTGGTTGTTGAATACTTTTTTTTTTTTTATTACAGGAATTAGGCCACTTGGGCACATGTCACCAACCCACATTGGGCCTGAAGGGGAAAAAAGTATTGAACCAAAAAAACAGAAATGGAAAAAATAACAAATCAAGAGTGAGAAATGATACCTCTACTGTATAGAGTATATGTTGTGTTGTCAAAGCGAAACAATTGAGACCCTGCAATTGTGTGTAAATGAGGCAGAAAGCCAGATCAGCAACCTGGGACTTGGTCACAATTTTTGTGATGCCATATGGCAGCAGGGTCTATTTAATACACATATTTCTATTAATAAATAAGGTTTTGTTAGCTCCTAACTTGCGGCCTACATACATATATAGTACAGCCATGGGTAGTTGCAGCCAATGTTTATGTTCACCGTCCTTTCACCCCATGATTTTTAAAAGGCCAAATACCTTTCCATGTTCTCAACATTCCCAATATTTACATCTTGAGTAGGCAACGCGTGAGTGGGTGTAAAAGATGTGAGTATAATTGTGAACATGTCATTATGTATAAATGATGTGTGTGTGTGTTTTTCATCTCATATTAAGGTCTGGAAAGAAATATAGTACAGTAGCCTCGTAAGTTTCAAACAGCTCAAGTTTTGCAGTTCTCGAGTTTCATGTGGACTCCTAAATTCCCCACCTCGTGACATCCGCGCACCTTCCTTCTGCATATCACGCTGCCTGTATTAATATAATGTGTTTTGTACCTTCTTCCTATGAGTTTGTATCTGAACCTTTCTGAAATTAGAAGTTAAATATTATTGTGTGATACCTCTACATTACAGTATAGTCTGCATTTACGCGGTTTTTGTTTACGCGGTGCCTTGCCAGAATGAAAATGCTTTAATTACACGGTAAATTTGGTCATTTACGCGGAGAGTGGCTGGAGGTCCAGACGCACCGCGCCATTTTTTATTCACGCCGTCCATTCTCGACTATACGCAGGAAGCGGCGCGGATATGGATGCGCAGTATGTCGCTGTTGCGTTATCGCTGACGTCATATGACGTATCGGACTGTGATTGGGCCACGCATCCTTACCTCTCTCCGCCGCTAGCTGTGATTGGCCTAATGTTATATGATGTGGCCTGGCACGGGAGGGAAGCTACTGACCTAGCCGCGTCAGTCTCATTGGTCTCGGTCACCGTGTATACTGTTCTCTCTTGTGCTCACTAATCTGTTCAATAATGGCATCCGCTGGACCCCCACCACCCCAGAAAAATCTTGATTTACCTGGACCAAGCCACCCCAAGCCCAAGAAGATACGACGTGCCCTAAGTTACGAAGTTAAGTACAAGATCGTGCAAGATTTAGAGAAAGGAACGAGACAAGTTGATTTGGCGCGCCAGCATGGCGTGAACGAATCTACGATCCGGACGCTCAAGAAGGATGCCGCCAAGATTAAAGAACACATGAGCATCACAAAGTCTGCAGGTGCTTCAATGGTGAAGTATTGTCAGAATAAGGTGCTGCTCAAGACTGAGAACTTACTGGTGAGCTACTTAATTCGTCAGGCAAGACGGAACATGGCGGTCGACACGCGGGCAGTGCAGGACTACGCTCGTGAACTAAGATCACCCCCCATGTGCTCCTCTTAGTCCCAGACCTCCATAAAATATCATGGTGTGAAGGTGTGGAACAACTTACCCCCACCCTTCCGAGCAAAGACTACGCTCCCTTCCTTTAAATCATCTCTTAAAAAATAGCTATTGTCTAAGTATTAATATTTTTGTAATACCTGCTTTATATTACCACCAAGTCCATTATATCAGAAAGTGTCATGTAGATAGATAGAAAATACCATTGCAATTATCATATTTGTCAATAAGACATGATACTGACAGCTTCTCTCCTTTTGTTCCACCTTAATACAACCCTGATATCAACTCCACTGTAAAATATGTAAATACGTACTCTAATATAAATGTAAAAAAATATAAATGAATATCAATAACGATGTTATCGTCGCTGGCTTCAACTACATTGCTCGCGTTGCCTTACCCAAACAAACATTCAATCTATCAGCCTGCGACCAACCCTCTGTGGTAAACACCGACTCCCAATCCTGGCCGAGTTTTTGTGCTGGAACAATTTACACAGTACTATTGTCCCTTGGAACACCATACTGGTTCACATTGACCCCCACTTTTTTGACTGTAAACGCCATGGTTAAGGAAGTTCTGGTGATGGACAAGTCGAAGGGAATGATTGAAACTAGCCTTTTGACGCATTCATTATTTATTGATGTGGTCTCAAACCCTGCAGAGAACAAGGCATACTATCTTCCCTTGGAACACCATACTGGTTCGCATTGACCCACACTTGTAAGTACAGCCAAAGTGATGACATACACCTCAGTACGTCTGTAGCTGTCGCCTTCATTGATTTCACTAAAGCATTCGACCTAGTCGACCACAATATAATCATCAACAAAGCTATTGACCTCGGGCTTCGGAGAAGTCTTATACCATGGCTTACAGACTTCCTCAGTGACCGACGCCAAGCTGTACGCTTCCGAGGGGCTGTCTCCACCTTTCAGTCACTCACCTGTGGTCCCCAAGGCACCAAGATGGGACCACTCTGCTTCCTTATGCTCATCAATGATGCCCTAAGAGAAACCCCTGCTCGCTGGAAATATGTCGACGACTCCACTATTGGGATCAGCGTCAACAATTCTGCTCCCAACTATACCGCCCTTCAGGATTTATTGAACAGTCTCCAAAACTGGGCCACCAACAACCATGTCACCATCAACCATACCAAGACCATGGTTATGCACATCAACCTCTCCTCCGACATTGTCCCACCTCCTTCCATTATTCTAGGTCCGAACACACTCCAGGTTGTAGATTCCACGAAGCTCCTCGGCGTCACCATAGACAACAAACTAAATTGTAAACCACACGTCAGTGAAGTTGTCAAATCCTCCAGTTTCCGTCTCCACCTCCTCCGCCGACTCAAGTCCCTCGGAGTTCCTGCACCCGAGCTCCTCAGTGTTTACACAAAATTCATACTTCCCAAGCTCACCTATGCCTCCCCCACCTGGTCTTCCTCCCTAAATGCCACACAATGTAAACACCTAGAAAAAGTGCAAAAGAGGGCATGCAAGATTATTCTCTCCCCTTCCTACTCCACATATCAAGAAGCGCTCAACACACTGACCCTTTCGACTCTCACTGACCATCACCACGACCTCATCTGCAAATTTGGTAAGAAGCTTCTACACCATCCTCGACACCGGCTCCTACTACCACCTGAGATCCCTAGCCCGAGAATTGCTGTTCGACACCACAACCGCATCCAGCCCATACGTGCACGAACTGATCGCTATAAGAACAGCCCAGTCCCAACCATTGTAAAAATTATCAATAACTTGTAATAAACCAGTGTATTCACTCCCAGTAAACACTACTCCTTGCACTGTCACTATGTTGAAATGAACTGTAGTTTGAGCTTTTCCCCATCTAGTTATTATATATCTTATTTATATCACTTATGTTACTTGTATATTATTTGTAATTCGAAACCCATTCCCCAAATACGTAACTGTATATTTTCAGCCTTCTGGCTGCCAAGCTTTTTCAATAAACCGTTAATTATTATTATTATTATTATTATTATTATGCCTGCTATGATTAACTGTTTTGTTACTGCTCACAACCATTAACTTTTATTTCATATTTTCCTAATACAATTAAGGCATTGAGTACCAGAGGGGTATAGGCACCAAAATAGTTCCCAAATAATGACATTCAAAATTTTTAACTACCTACCACATCATACATAATAGCAGTGATTTGCATATAAATATTTGTATTGACTCTTTTGGGCATGTAGATTTTGTGTATCTACAGTACTGTACTTGAGAAAGACCAAAAGTTACACAATCCCTTACAAAATTTTTAAAATGAACCCCCCCCCGCCCCATTGCTGTTCCTAAATACAATAAAGAAAGAATTGATGGAAAGTCAACATAAATAAATTTGACACAATGTTCAACTCGGTACAAAAGTGTCACGATAATAATGGGATGTTACAAGTTCAGATCCAGGGTGTTTCTCAAGTACGACCTCACGATAAAGATTATAACTTTGAAACAATACACCCTGGTTTTAAATATCTACGATGAGGACTTTGAGCTTTAGAATAATGACTGTGGCACATTGTACAAGCAGGAGCTTTACATCTTGACTCGGTCATTGACGAACCAGTAATGAGGAGCACATTCCCAAGAGGCCTAAGTTACATTGAAACAGTTGCCAGAAGGCTCCTAAAAATTTTTTAGCAAAAATGAATATTGGGAAATTTAGATTAGACGCAGGAAAAATTCATCTCGTGAAAAAATCTTAGTACTGTATCAGTTACAGGAAATGTCTAGTCGGGTACTACCCTCCCTCCCTCTCAGTAAATGGAAATGAAATGGTTTTGTATAACCTTACAGTTAATGACAATATATGTATGAAGTAAGATAATATAAGCTTTAGCCTTTACCTTATGAGAAAGCATTACCATGTCTGGCAGGATAAATACTTTATATTAATTTTATATTTTTTTTAGATGATGGCAATTCTTCTGAAACATGGACTGGTTGACCACACAACACACGAGTCAGTCTTGGAATTCATCAGTTCTCATCAGGACACTTCCATTGTAACCAAGGAGAAGTCTTCTAGTAAAGAAGGTAATTATTGTGAAATGTAATACAAGTATTCTTTTTCTCTCCATTGGCTTACTGGATTGCTAGGTGAAGTAGTGGCAAGATTCAAATTCCAAGTCCTTCTTTTGACTGGGGATGCTGATGTATTTAGTATCCCAGAGTTTGATCTGATGTCACTTGAATATTTGTTAAATTGACAAGGTTAGCATTTCTTTTTCAGATAAAACTTCATCAGAAATCAAATCCAGTGAAAGTTAAACTTTCAAAATGTATAGACTGTTCTGTACATACAAAGCAGTGGACTTACTGTTGTTGCATCACTACAAAATGAAAACCCTATGTCTTGGCTGGGGCTTGCAGTCTTGCACTGCATCATTACCAGTGGCACAATTTCTCAGTAAGTTCCTTGTCCTCCACTGCCAAAGTCAACTTTATCCGAATGCAGCATGATAATTTTTTGGGTTATTTTAGCTTACTAACCATTTAGTGTAATTGAACAATATATCAAAACTCCATAGAAAATGTCAATGTTTAATTACAGAAGTCTTTAAACCTGTTACTGAAGATGGTTTAATGTTGAGTGTCAGTGACAATGATCCTGAGGACAGTTCATCAACCAGTTCAGAATCTGCATTACTTCTTCCTTGTCTTTATCATTCAATTAGAGTAAATTGAAACACTCCTCCCAATAATGAATATGTTCTGTAGCATTTTAAGACATTTAGCATAAGTTTTTTTTTCCCCTATGAACATATCTCCACTTTTACAATGTGAGTCTGGGAAAATGAGATCCAATTTAATGAAAAAATTTACATTATTTTTTTCAGGAACAGAACTCTGTTGTAAATCTGGTACAGTAAAACTTCGCTAAGGTGGACCCTGCATAAGCTGGACATATTATTTGCCAAAAAATAATTACTTTTTTACAAATAAATAAAAAGGTTGGACATAATTTGTCATAAGATGCCATGTCCTCCATAAGCCAAAATTTCAAGGGAGCAAGGCGAACAGACCTCGTGATCCACCCACGCTGGTAAACAGGGACACGCATCACACACTCAGTCATAAATTAGCATCGCCTGTGATAGCATCACTTCTGCTCTCTCGCTCCATCGATTGTGTTTTATTGCCATTTAGACGTGCTGAAATCTTTTTAAAACTTATTTGACATTGCCTGTAATGTGATTATATTGTAGATTGACATGGCATTCATATTTTTGCATTATTATTGAAAAATTAGACAATAACCATGGTCCCTAAGAAAGTGTTTGGTTCACCTTATGAGTGAACGAAAAGTTAAAGGTGATTAAAAAGCTAGAAAAAGGTGCTGCTCCCTCACAAATATGCGCTGAATACAGAATTTAAAAGCACTCGAACCGCAAGCCTCTAGCAGTCAAAGGCATGTCCAGCTGCATCTGCCTTCCATTTTTGGGGGCTAAATGTACTGCACAGTGTTTTCTGTACATAACTTTTTAAATTATTTTTTGTTAAAAAAACATGCATTTTTTTAAAAAATTGGATACATTGGTATTGTACTCTTATTTTTTTTTTTCTTCTCTAAGGCAGACAACCTCTTATCCCAAATACCCCTTCCCCCCGAATTAGTCCTCCTTAGTGAGGTTTTACTGTATGTACTTCCATTATACTGTACACTAGGGTCTCAAGTACTCATATCCATAGTACACCTACTGTACATGCAGTTAACTCCCTGATCTCCGTATGCATGGGACTCTTGCATGAGCCAACCCAACTAGCATCTCTCTCTCTCTCTCTCTGGGCTAGTTATACAGACTTTTCCTGTGAAAAAGCCATAATTTTCAGCGACATATTACTGTACTGTACACACTTTGTACTCAATTGTACTATACCCTAAAGGACTATAATTATTATCTCTTGTGGAAACTATATGACGTTTTACTCAAATAAATCATTATCTTAAAAGGATTCCATCACTGCAAGTTATATTTTGTTAAGTCTAGTCAGCTACATTTTATAAGATAAAAACTTTAAGCCTAAAACCACCTTCACCCTGGCTGGGAGGATAGGAGGTGAGGTATTGACACAGCCGGGGCGAAGGTTAGTAAGGTTACCAAGTGTGTATTTATCAGTCATATATAGAGGGAGTTTAAGTTTTTCACTTATAAAATGTCACTGAATTGACTTGGCAGAATATAACTTACATTGCTGGAATTATTTTAATATAGTGATTAATTTGAGTACAGACATCCCATAGTTTGCATTAGACAAACATTTTAGTAATTATTTATTACATTTGAGTACAGGTTTGCCTTTAGGACAATTATTTCTTTTATTTTTTCCGAATAGTATAGGTACTCCTGAGCATGGTGATTTAGAATATGAGGTCCACGATTCGACTGCGGGGTAATTAGTGGTTGTAATTACGCTTGGAAAATTTAACGACATTTTTCAATACTAATTTATCTCCAATTATGGGTTTCGTTAGTGCGATTTTGGTGTTAATGTGTTATTCTGTAAGTACTTAATTAGTTAAACCCCTTAAATTTTAATTCTGAGAGAAAAGTATATTTTGGTCGAAAAATTACTATGGTGTACGACTTACATTTTCGACAGTTTTGGCCCAAAATTAGATTTTGTTGAAAATCACATTTCAGTAGGCTCTCGCCAATAACGACTTCCACAATAATGTTTTCGACAACAACAGTAAGTTACAATAGATACCCATTTTCGATAATAACGTCTGGATTCTCATGAATAACGGAGATTTTGCGGGAAGCGTCCGTGCGCATCAATGATAGCGTTTGTTTGCTGCCATGTTGATGACGTAGTTGTCCGCTCCGCCTCAATCTCACTCTCGCACACGCTCTGTGGAATACAGTGCTGCGCCCAGCCACCCACGTGTGAGATTTTGTCTGTGTACTGACTTTGGGACTCAAAAATACGTAATTTGACCAAATTTTGGTACGACTGAGGCAGGTCATAAGTGCGGGTGGGCGTAAGTGGGGGAGGAGCTGTATTCCCTCCGTTATATGAGTTTTGGCGAAATGAGCAGACTCCAAGGAAAGTATATACTCATATCATCAAGATTTTATTGTATTGGACTTATTAAAAAGTAGCATATCATTTCTCTTGAAGTTGCGTGTCGGTTCCACACGAATTTGTAATATATGAGCTCCATCGAACATCATGAAGCTGAGATACGCAAAGCCTTTTTGATTTTTCTTATATAAAGTTTTCATTTATAATATGCATATTTATTGATCATTTAAGCTGTTTCTATACTGTACAGGGTACATGGTTTGTGGGAGTTCATGCACTTGCTTACCTTGGGTAGGGTTACTTTAGTATAGAAAATAAGTTTTACGTATACAGTATATACAGGGGAACCCAAATATATGCAAAATTCGCTTTTATGCGAGACTCCCGGAAAGTAACCCTCATGTACTTTGAGGCCATACTGTACAGAGTGCGCTGAATATTAAATCGCGATAGGGCCGACGAACTAAGTTCTCGCAAAAATAAGATCATATGTTGTGAAGGCTGTCCTGGGATGCGAGATGTCAAAACGCTTGGTTTGCTGGCAAGTGGTGACATTTGGCAACTGAGAACACGTCACGGCTTGTAGTCAGTGCGCCTCTGGCAACTGTGAGGGGAAGATTTATTGTGTGGGTTCCTGTGCCATGTGGCCATGTTTTGTCTAGTTTAAGGTGCATTAACCCGACATAGTGGCCATCAGAGATGTCCAGGAGGGTTACTACAAGAGATGATATTGCAGCAGTGATTGCATTGTACTGAGAGAAATTTCGGCTCAGACTGGTGTGGCATTACGAGTTGTTCAAAATCTTGTCAAACGTTTCCGTGACCTTGGAGAGGACGAGTTACCAGCTCCATTACCTAAGTCTGGTAGGCCTAAATTATTGTCTCCACGGACACTTAAGGTTATTTCTCAACAAGTTCGGTCCAATCCCTCACTCACAGCACGTGAAGTGAAAGAGAGAAACTCCCGTCTTTTGAGTCACGTCTCGTTAAGTTGTGTTCAACAAGCCCTGCACGATGACCTGAGATTTAAGAGCTTTCGTGCCCGCCGTAAACCTCTGTTGACAAAGAGACAGAAGGAAAATAGTGAAATTTTGCAAGAAATATGAAGTGTGGGATTTAGAGTCATGGAAAAGTGTATTGTGGTCCGACGAGGCTACATTTTCTGTGACTGAGAGTAATGGTGGGAGGGTGTACCGCCCGCCCCACTCAGACGCACACCTCCCACAGTACACTGTAAACACTGTTAAACACCCTGCCTCGCTTATGGTTTGGGCTTCCTTTACGTATTATGGTGTTGGTGAACTAGTAATCCTCCCTAAGAACCAGATGATGAATCAGTACAACTATCTTGATCTGCTCAGTGATTTCTTACCTGAATCATTTGATAAAGCTAAGGCAAGCTTTTCATGCAGGACGGTGCCCCATGCCACACTGCTAAAAGTGTCATACAGTGGCTCAAAGACTGTGAGGTACCTTTCTTTAATGACTGGCCTGGCAGTAGCCCAGATCTTAACCCAATAGAAAATTTGTGGTCCATTGTTAAGCGTCGTCTGCGCGACGCTGACACATCATCAATCCCGAAGCTAGAGGCAGCCATCAAGGATACCTGGGCTAACTTGCCACCTGACCTCTTGTAAAACCTTGCTGACAGTGTTCCTCGAAGGCTAAAAGACTGTCTGAAGTGCAGAGGAAACACTACAAAGTATTAATTGAAGTGGTAAGTGTTACTTGACTTTATTTATATAACATAATCGTAAATATCAATATTTTTCAGCACACGATCTCACATTCCGCGCAGACTGTATATCAAGAATTCATACGTGTCCAATTATAGCTAGAATTCCCTACACTTTCTATCCTGTTCTCCTCTCACCTCGCCTCCTCCCTAGCTGTTGGATGTTCAACCACTCTCCTGTGCCTCTCACTTATTCATCACACATGCATTTCCCTCAATTTGTCTAAAATATTACTGTATATATTGTTGATAACCCCTGTATGAATAAACCTTGATGTTACAACAATTTGAAATAAACCACTGCTTACTTTTCCAGGAATACAGGTAATGGACCGCAAGAAACGTTCATTTAAGTCTCGCATTGCAACCACCAATCAACCTTTGGCTCGCAAACTGTTTGAGATCATGTCCATCAAAAAGACAAACTTGTGCGTGGCTGCAGATGTTACCACTTCAAAGGAATTGCTTTCTTTAACTGAAAAGGTATACTTATTTGGTTTATATCATTGTTTGCAAAAACAGACAGAGAGCATCATAGAACTAGTAGAGATAATGAAAATGGTAGATGATAGAACTAATAGGTAATGAGAACGGTAGTATATTAGGACATTGGTTCTTTGTCTAGCGTACCATAGTGAAGGGGTAAATGGCTGGTAGAAAATTGTTTGCAAGGCAAATGCAATGACCCCTCTCGTTTATGACTTCTGATTAAACAGAAATTTGGATTCAACGAACTTCCGCCTTCACAAGGATCTTCAATTGATTCTTGAACAAAATTCATTAGCAATTTCCTTCTGAACCGACCTCAAACATGTTTTGCTTGCACTGACGGGCGGCAACTTTAGTATCAGTCATGACCCATTATGTGTTCTGGGGAGCTTAAATACCTTACTATTTTAGTAAACTCACCTCAAAATTTTATACTTTAACTAATTTCTTTAAAGTTTAATATTCCAATTTTTTTGAATCATTTTGCTGGTGCTAAACATAGTGAAGGTAAAAGAAACTAGTTTTAGCGCATCTATTTTCGCCTTTTTAGACGCGTTAATTCTCTCTTTTTTACGGAGTAACATCTTGTGAGACTCTCTTCAACTAAATGCTTTTTCTGTGTTTCAAGCAAATTGTTAAGTCATTTTTGAAATTTATTTGCATATTGACAATATACGAAAATATATAACATAGTGATATTCTTCATCTTCTTTCTTCTTTAAGCTGGTTAACACGAAAACCATATTGACATTGTTTTGAATCATAGGGCCTAAAGATCAAAAAAGTATTTCATCAAACCAAACTTCAAAATCATAAAAAACATGAACAGGCATTAAATCAAATGTGTAGCAAAAGATAGCGTATTGGCATCAACATAAACAATTCTTCCACTTTAAAACCAATTGAAAGGCTAAAGTGGAATATGAAATCTAAAGTGTTCAAAAGTAGATCCTAAATCATGAAACTGAAGTTGCCTAATCTGGATTAGGGAAAACAGATGAAAAAATTGATTCAGTTTTACGATATTCCATTTAATGAAAAACCAAAGAATTATAGACAATTTGAGCAGATAACTAGTTCTTCCATTTAGAATTTGAAATTTTCGGGCCAGCAAGGCTGGTTTCAAAATTTAAAAAAATGACATTTTAAGTGTTGTTAGGCATGGTGAGCTGCTAGTGCTTTTTCCAGTAAAGAAGGGCAGTAAGGATTTTTTAGCAGAATGTAAAAACTAATGGAAGAAAAAATTATCTTCACAGCAAGTCATTCAATATGGACAAAACTGCAAGGCTGTTCTAGGAAAAAAATCTCCAAAAAGAACATTCATCTGAAGATGACCCTCTACTACCTGAGCGCAAACCACGACCCGTCTCCGCCTACACTGCTTGGTGCCAGTAAGCTGAAGTTCGGCTGAAGCCTATATCTCTGAAAAGGCAGGGGTGTTCAAGCAACAGAAAGTGATAAAACCAAACTGGGTTTATTGGAGTCAAATGCTAGGGCATGGGTATGCAAGACAGCTCTATGAATGACTGTTAAATCTGTTTGCCTTCTGTCAAGAGCTACCTCTTTTTCATGTATTCCTTCTGAGTTCTTCTCCTCTACCATTGTCCTCTCAGTCAGCCCTGACCTTAGCCATTTGGAGTATCAATTTGACTTTGTGAAAGTGTTGTTTTTACTCCAAACACTACATCAATCATGCAATAATGGACCAGAATGTGATCAACAACTAAGAAGTTGTGCATGAAGAAGAATGTTTGGGTGTCATCAGGCAACTTTATGATCCTGAACTAACACTGAAACAGTTTGGAAGCACAATTCAACATCCTGGGCTGCAAAATTCGTTATGTCAGCATGGCAGGAAGTCTCGCTAGATCCCTCAATTCTTCATATTGAAAGCCTGCTGGCCATCAGTGATCCCTCTGGTCTTACATTTGGGGATTTGAAGAAAAAAACCAAAATTCTGATCGGAGATTTATGTTAATTGATCTGTTTCCGTCTTGAGTATGGAGGATGCGAGAAAAAACTTACGATATCTCATAGGGAAGACTTTACTCCTGGTGACTTGAGGCAACTGGATGAGATGTACAGGTAGAAAGGCTGACTGATGGTGAGAAATTGAAAGTGATGACCCTCTCTCTATTCAAACAGTTGAAGATGTGATTTACTACTGGGAGGATTCGAAGGAACCCAGCTGACGCAGAAGTGGAAAAAAACTATTCTTTGCGCTCCTTCATGAGGACTCAGTGGTCTCCTTCTTTAAACATAAGTTAATGGTGAGGACAGATGCCCCACAGACCACAATTGACACTTTCTTTAGGTAAAGGCAGAGGGAACAAGATGTATCCTCGGCGCTTCCACTTCAAGAAGGAGAGAGGATGACCCTTGAGAGAATCCTTGTCAGTCCAGGTTCTGACATTTTCATGAGAAGGTAGCTCATACCAGGAAAGCAGCCAAAGCCCTTCTCCCTCCACTTCCTTCTCTTCTCCTTCTCCTCCTCCCACACTCACAACTTCAAATGCATCCATCATCATCATCTCGTAGACCTTCTACACACCTCCGTACAAGTATTTATAATCATTGTATACTGTGTGAGAGTCATCATTATGTGTGTGAGCATTGACAAGTTCAGGCAAAGAGAGGCCATTAAAACATTTATTTACATGAAGAATATGTTAATTAAGTGAATGTAGAATGTTTGGAAAATTCTACATGTGACCCTTATAATGTCAGTAATATATACAATAGTAGACCATCTTTTCAATACAGGTAAACCTATATTTCTGATATCCCAATGTACAATAATTTGCTTTAATGATGCTGATATATTAAGACTACTTCCTTATTTGCGATGTAAAGAAATACTTTCATTAACAATATTAGGTCATCTTGCCAAGTCGGCATATGGAACACATCACTCACTTCATTTGTCAGCTGAGGCATCATCTACCTGAATGCTGCCTCATGGCCATCTGGTGAACTACAGTCCATGCAATGTTTCTTCTTGGTTACATGCGTGTAAGAAATGGAGCTTAATGTTTAATGGTCATCATCGGTGGTTTTTTGTGCTTGTTTTTTTTTGTTTTATGCATTACAGTGAGAGGACATCACTAAAGTTCACATTGTACTCTGTTTTAGTGACTGTAGAGTGCTTTCGCTCTGACTATGAAGTGCATTTGTCCTGATCCCCCACCCCAAAAATGGGTGACATGACATTGCATCAGAAGGTCAGTAATGTGAGACCACTAATACCCCACCCTACCTCCACTGCAAATGAGAGAAGAGTTTACATACAATGGGTGAACTCTCATTGTATCAGGTCAGGTCAGTAGCATGAGACCTACTAATCCCCTACCACACCTCCATCACAAGTGTTATAAGACATAAATAGTGGTTACAATTATGTATTACATTCAGGAGATTGGACACTATACTCCTACTGTAGGCTCAAGATGACAGTAGTGATGTATATTATTTTGTTTATTTATAATATATTGTATGTATACAGTGGTGTTTGCATAAATAAATACAGCTCTTGTTTCAGTCAGTGTGGGATCATTGCTTAGAATCAGGAAAGCAGACACAGCTCCATTCACAAGATGCCTCAAATGCCCTTTTCATATACCACCACCCTCTCTTATCTCATCCGCGATTTCTTTCTGAATAACTTGGCCACGTATATTTATAAGTTTATTCTGTATGGTCTTTAAGTATTTTTAGGACACTTCTCAAAGTATTTTTATGGGTTTTATTTCCTGTCTCTGCTCTGAAGTCAGACAGAGCTTGAAAGTTTCCCCTGTTAAAAGATTCAGTGGTGGCATCATCGCTGTGTCCTCGTAGGGCTAGTCCTTGCTTTCCACAAAGGATGATGGTTTTGGTGATGGACCAAGGTATTGACTTGTTAGTTTCCATCCTCCCTGGTTGGCAGATACAACCTGGTCAATCACAGGAGTAGTCTTTCCATGCATTCTTTTGATGAACTCACCCAATACAACTGATGTTTTATGAAGCTCTGAATTATCCTAATGGTCCTTGTATTTTGCTCTTGCTGATGACCAGTCTGTGAGAGGGAATCTGAAAAGTTTATCTAGTTTTAAGGAATTTTTCCCTGTTCTATGACCAAAGTACAGGCAGAACTTACAGAGTTTCTCCATCTGGGATGGGGAATATGCAAGCCAAAGGTATAGATCCAACCAATGAAGCTGGAACGAGCGCAGTTTACCATTTATGATCGTTTTTGTAAACTGGTAGCCATGCTCTGGAATAAAAACATTCTCAAAGTGTTTGTCTGCAACACTGAGAAACCATTGATGGTAGTCTGCTTTCTTTCGGAACCTTAGCTTCTGCTGAAGCTCTATGTTAAGTCACACTGAGTCAGTCTACACTGAGGTTGATGTTCAACGTGGGCTACTGGGGTCAGGCGAGGGTGCAGGCAGGCTGGTGTGGGAGTGGCTGGTGGGTGGAATTTTCCTTAGCATAAGCAAGATTAGCCAAGTCAGGTCATACTCCACCCAGGAGGTTGGGTTCAGGTGTGGAGTCCGAGGAGGTGGGGAAGTGCTGGTGGTGAGGATTTTCCTTGTAAGCGCCAAGATTAGCCAGATGAGATTTGCTTCTCGGTTTTATTGATTGCAAGTAAAAAATTTTTTTTAACTCCAAAATTCTGACCGACTTGAGAAAGTGTAAAACAGTCTAGATTCACCACTGTGGAAAACGGGTGTATATCTGGGAGCCGCTGGCAGAGGAGGGTAAAGTACCCCCTCCCCCAGATGCCTTTAACACTTCCTTATGCACTTTCACCATAGTTCTCATAAAATTCATGTTCATTTGATACCAGGAGTGATAAAATATTATCCTAAAAGAATCAGCTTTCATGAAAAAAGAATCCACTGAACACCATGAATCACTTGTTTACAAAAAGCAAACAGCTGATTGGCTTACCACAATGTCTGTCTTCAACACTTAGTAAATAAGTACAGTACAGTCGAGTATTTATCACCACTTAATAAATACTGTACTATTGTAGTGTATTTATCACCACTAAATAAATACTATTGTGGTATTTATCACCACTTAATAAATACTATTGTAGTGTATTTATCACCACTTAATAAATACTATTGTAGTGTATTTATCACCACCTAATAAATACTATTGTAGTGTATTTATCACCACTTAATAAATACTATTGTAGTGTATTTATCACCACTTAATAAATACTATTGTAGTGTATTTATCACCACTTAATAAATACTATTGTAGTGTATTTATCACCACTTAATAAGTAATATTGTAGTGTATTTATCAATGCATAATAATTAAAAAACTTATTCTGATACGAAACTTATCCTTTTATTTTCAAGTCATATTACAAATTACATACAGTACGTATTGTATTTTTTCTCTATTACTGAAGATGTTATATTAATCATGATGAACCATAAACCATAAGAGGCCAATCATATGAGAATATAATACCGAATCAATAAATAAACCTGACGAATGCGGTAACACCTGATCGGCCCCAACCTGCTTACATACTCAAGGGTTTTAGTTCTCAGTAGGCCTATAGCAAATCTGATTAGACCACTGTACAGTATTCAATAAGTGTTGTTCATTTCATACGATCTTTTTATTAATCTTATCAATTTCTTAAAACATTTTTTTTTTTTTTTCTGGTGATCAGAGCTCCTCGGAGTCTGAAAAAAGCGAATTCCAATATATTAAAGTCCGATTTATCAGGTTTTACTATTTATAACTTCAAAGAGCCATCTTAGCTGGCATGGCAGGGTCACAACTCCCTGAGGTAATCAAAGATGACCCATGTACAATAATTTTCTCAAAACAACTATGCATTGTTATAAGTAAAGTCATCATTTGTATATAAATAATATTCATTTCATGACAGACAGTTCAGATACCCAGCTACATTGGGTTAAAATTCTCATTTTTAAATTGAAATATTATTTCTTCAGGTTGGACCACATATTTGTGTTTTGAAGACTCACATAGACATATTGGCAGACTTCAGCCAAGACACTGTTGCTGCATTGAAGGACCTTGCTGTCAAACACAACTTTTTGATCTTTGAAGACAGGTTTGTATCTGTGATACTTTATTTACAAAAACCTTTTGTAAACTTTGTTTTGTTTAATTTTTTGCCCTTTGAGGTTAGTTAGCATTTTATTATTTTATAAATCTTGTGAGTGTTGAGTGGTACAACTAGAACTAGCTGGGTATATAACTCTGAACTGTGTTGATGACATGATTGATGTTGGAGGGGTTGCTGAAACCTGTTCATTTAAACATTGGAAGTGACTGGAGGAAGTTTAGAGAGTTGCTGCCTTTCTTGACCGCAAGAGAACCTTCCCTTCAAAGGAAAGATGTATGCAGCTGGTGTGAGAAGTGTTATGTTGTATGGCAGTTAGAGGGATTGACATTCACACACTCTAGCAAGCTGAAATGAGAGTGGTGAGGTGGATGTACAATGCAACACTGAAAGACAGGAAACATGTCCGAGCTAAGAAAGTGGCTTAGTATTGAGAGTATATTGGTAAAATTTTGCATAGTTGAGACGGTTTGACCATGTGGAAAGAATAGATGACACCAATTGGGTCAAAAGATGAGTCTAAATGTAAAAGGGAGGAAAGCCAGGGATAGGCCAAGAATGACAAGGGAGTGGTTGTAAGAAATGACATCCGAGTTAAGAACCTGACGAGATTGCAAGAGACCATGCAAAATGGAGAGCTGCTGTCAGGTAATCACAGTTAACCTGCATTACTGTGGAAAATGGCCTTAAATTATCGATGATTATGAGGACAATCCCCACCTACAAAGTATTTTATTTATATTTTTTTCTAGGACTGTACTTACTGTAATCCAATATGCTCTGTTTTGTCATATGGAAATATATTATTTCAGTGTATAAAATTACATTTGTCATTTCTTAATGGTAACTTCATAATAGACCTTGGAAAAACTCTCACGTAGCCACACTCTTGCATATCAAGTAGTTTTGTAGAAATTTTACATCCCGCGTAAATTGCATTTAGGTTGTCTTTTACTCTGACAGATCGTGTTAAGGAAAAGTTAATTAACTGAGAGCTTAAAAGTTTTGGTAATATCCTAGTTCATATATGCAATAAACCCTTGATGATTCCGAAATTGGTAACTCGTATTTCATTTTAACTCTAAATGGCAGTAAAATGCTCTACTGTAAGTTATTTTAAATTTATTTTTTACATAAAAAATTTATTTTACATAACTTACAATATTCCAAGATATGATGACGCAATATCGGAATGGCGTAACGTGTGACCTTATCCTTGGGTCTCACTCTTGCAGGAGCCAACCCACCCAACATCTCTTGCTAGTTCAGCGTGTTAATCACTTGTCCGTGCTCATTTGAGAAAAAATAAATACAAATAAAATCATTTCAATACTCTAATGTTGCTGAGTGGCTGAACTGTGTCATGTTGCCCAGTGGAGCTGATCTTTGTATAGAAAGTAATATATACTGCACTGTACAATACCAGTAAATCTGAGGAATAAATAAAAAATAATACTAACAAATAAATTGAAAAATATTGCATTGCCATCTGGCAATCATTTCCCTACACACAGGACGAGACAGTGAACAGCTGAGATATCCTCCATGCCGCTACCCCCTCCTATTTCCCCTCCCCCCGCTCTGTGTGATAACTCCCACACACATATGAAATGTTTATATTCCATTTGTTTTTTTACTTAAAGATTGTATGTGCATGTAATGAAATAAAAAAAAGCATGTCTACCCAAAAATACTGTTTGAAAAATAACCACTCTGAGTGCTAGCTCTGGCACTGGCATCCTCTCTCACACTGGTTCAGTGAAAACCTCCCAGGCATTTGTTGGTAAAGTTGATGCTGTAAGTGTTTACTGTATACTATACTGTACTTACTGTAGTGCAGTGAGCCCCCCACCACCTTTGGTACCAACCACATGGCACCACAAGCCTGAATTATCCTCATTCATCTCCTGCAGTGCTGGTAAGCATTTATTTTAGTGCAAGTTTTCTGATTATGGTGGGTTATTTGGGCAAAAAAGTTGGATATTGATGTGGGATGAAAGGCCAAGAAGAAAGTGCCTTGATAACTCGGAATGATTAGACCCCCATCTATTCCGAGTTATCAAGGGTGTACTGTGTCTGTCAATTTCTTTAGTTTTGTTAGATGTATTGATTTTTCTTTTACAGAAAATTTGGTGACATTGGGAGTACAGTAGCCAGCCAGTACTCAGGTGGGGCGTACAAGATTGTAGACTGGGCGGACCTGGTAACTGTTCATGGTTTGCCTGGTGATGGAGTTATTAAAGGTGATACTTATAATTTTTCCATAATTAATTTTTCTGGAGAACTTCTGTTACAAGTTATTTGTATGTAGAGAAAAAGTTTCAGAGATAAATGTTGTGTAATGTGAATAGTTGCTTGAGTTTAAAGTTAATGTTCAATATTCCTAACCTAGAGAGAAGATGTAGAAATGTGCAGAAAGTGCACTTGCATGTGTTGACAGAAGAATTAAGTTTTCCATTTTCTCAGTAATACAAGTGTGTTATAATCAAGAATAAATGCACTCTCTCCCATCATTTGCTATTATTCCTTTTATTCTTGCCACTGAAAATAGATTTGTTCTGCTTTCATATTTCACATCCACATCACACATAACAGTGTGATGCCTGAAATTGCTAGTTGAAAAATAACTAACGCAGCTCACAGCTTGACCTGGTAGGGGAGGCTGAGGTCCCAATGCCGCACTCCCCTCCCATTCCCCTTCCATAATCCACACTAACTTCTGCTGGCATAATAAATGTTTATTTTTTACCTTTTTTCTCACATTTTGTATGAAAGATTGTGTGCATGTAACAGTAAAAGAAAATTGTGTAATGTGTTTCTATCCCTGCCTTTTGATAAGTTCCACACATGTAAGAAATGATTATTCCCAATATGTTTTAGACCTTATAATAATTTTATTATTATTATTATTTGCACATTTTTGTGTGAAAGGGTATATCTGCATGTAACAAGTGTTACAAAAATTTTTACAGTAAGCCCTCGTTTAATGTCGGGTTTACGTTCCTAAAAATGCGATGTTATATGAAACAACGTTAAGCAGATCAATTTTCCCCATAAGAAATAAACAAAATACGGGAGTTATGTTCCTGAGCCTCCCTTTGTCCCATGAAATACTTTACATAGACAGAAAATCATTGCCATTTCTATAGAAAATAGTGCATACCGGTACATATACAACTACAGTACTAAGTTTGTATTGGTACTCACCGATGTGCAGAGGTGGTAGAGCAAGTGTGTGGTGGGTAGTGAAGCAGAGGAGGCGGATGGCGGGAGGGGAGAAGTATGGCGGGAGAGGAGGAGGAGGGTGGTGAGTCACTGAGATTCTGCACCAAGCCGAGAGAGCGTAGCGCGGCCAAACAAGAGAGGTAAAAAGTAGTCCGTGGCGATGGAAAATGATGATGTACTGAGTCATCGGGACGTTAAACGAATTAGTGGTATCTACCCGATATTACTTGTAGTGACAGCTGGGTGATCACAACTTACTACTGTACATGTACATAACATGTAAGATAAATGAAAATAAAACTATTTTGCATAAATTTATTGTTTTTTCTATAAATTATTTCAGTTATTTAGACATTATTTAATCATTATAGCAGCAGGATATAAAACTTGTTTGAGTTCTTCAGAGTCTCAGGAGCAGAACCTATTTTCCCCCATAAGTTATTAATATCGATATACGATCGATCACTTGATGATGGCTTTTTGAGGTCCTTAAACCCTCATCCTATAATGGTCAGCACCTGTACAGGATTACCTCACTATTCGCAGCCCCACTTATCCGCAATTGATATTTTAACACCTCTATTCAATATTTGCAAAGCATAACCCTCTTACCGGTATTCGTAAAGAAAAATTACGATACCCTACAAGTAATATTTTAAACTGCACAGGCTAGCCACAGCTCTCATATTCCTCTGTAAGGCCTGCTTCACACAAGCATGTTTTTTCCCTTGTGTGAGGACCCTCGCGGTTTAGAAATTAATTAAGTTCAAGGGAACTTACACAGCACACATGTGAAAATTCATGCGCGGGAGATGCTTACTCCATGCTTGTACCCGTACAGTACTTCCAAACTGTGGCTTAAAAAAACACGTTGAGATTTCTAGAATTCTGCATGTGGCAATGGTAAATGCTTGTTTAAATGTTTACAGACATATGCAAATGCCATACACTCATTCAAGCACACATGCACACTCGGGCACTCGCTCACACATAGTGTTCTTTTGTATTATTTTTAGGGTATTGTAGTTATTTTATTGCATTATATGGAGTGTACCTGTACTGTATATTGAAAAATATGTTGCTATTAAATAAGAAATATGTAGAGCATGGGTGTATGTGTGTGTAAAATGAATGTATGTGTGGACTTGGCACGTCTCCAAGGAATGTACCTATTGCTACATCCCCTTTGCTTTGCCTCTACCACTCCAAGTTGTGATACTGTATTGTAATTTTTTAACTCCCATACTGTGAAAACTTTTGAAGAAAATTCAAGATATTGAACTTACTAAGGAGTGGCGTATTGAACTCTGAAGTTGCGTGTTATTTGCCTTTGTATAAAATAGGGATTATACATTCATATATACAGTATTACCCTGCTTTACACGGTTTCACTTTCCGCGATTTCTGATTTATTCGGTAGCTTGCCAGAACCGGACTTTCACTTTCCGCGGTGCATCTCTACTCATATACGCTTGAAGTATAATGTTTTTTTTTTATTTAGCTCATAAAATTCATACAAATTACCCGGCCAGAATATAATTTACATTGCTGGAATTCTTACAATATGATGATCATTTTGAATATAAACATCATGGATTTTGCATTAGACATACAAATTTTAGATCTAATGTAATAATTTGGTTTACACAAAGCAAATATTTTATATTTTGTGCAAAATATATGATGTTTACATTCAAAATATTCCCTGACCTGCAAGGAATCCAGAAATGTCAATTATATTATCCTAACTTTAGTCTGAGGTATTATTTATTACTAAAAGTTAAAATTTAGTTTTTTCACCCAACATTTCTCTGGTAGGGAGGGAAGGTGGGGGGTGGGGGGGAGGGGTGGGACCGACCGACCATCTGGCGCAGTTGGAAGAGGGGGGGAGGCAAGTTGGGGTACTTTGATTGACAGATAGTGTCGTGAAGAATATTTTTTTTTTATTAACTGGAAATATTTGTTTTAGCTCGTAAAATTCATACAAATTACTGGACCAGAATATAATTTACATTGCTGGAATTCTTACAATATGTTGATCGTTTTGAATATAAACATCATGGATTTTGCATTAGACATACAAATTTTAGATCTAATGTAATAATTTGGTTTACACAAAGCAAGTATTTTATCTTTTGTGCAAAATATATGAAGTTTACATTCAAAATATTCCCTGACCTGCAAGGAATCCAGAAATGTCAATTATATTATCCTAACTTTAGTCTGAGGTATTATTTATTACTAAACGTTAAAATCTAGTGTTTCACCCAATCATTTCTCAGAGAGGTAGGGGCCAGTGAGCTGGGAAGAGGGGGGGGGATTTGAGTCCATTATTTGAATGGACATTAACCTGGCGACTGTATTTCTCTTAAATATTAATTGTGTGAGCATACCATCATAAAATTTAGATGTTATTTTTACTACAACATAGGTATTGTGTCGGAAAAAGTGGAGTTTGGGGGTCGGGCCAGTCTCTGTTGGAATTAATCCCATATGTTCTGTTGTTCACTTCACGCGGTTTTCACTTTCCTTGGTACCCTGTGGGTTCAATTGACCGCGTAAATCGGGGTACTACTGTACAGGGGTCTGAGTATACACAAATTCACACTTATGCAGGGATCTCAGGAACGTATCCGTCGAGTACTCTGACACCCTACTGTACATGTATATTTGTGTGCATCTACCCACAATTTGTTATCAATGACAGTTATTTATTGCATAAAATGTCTTTTGCATCATTAGACACAAGTACTGAAGGTCTTTTTTATAAAAAAAAAATTCAAACGGGGGTACAGCTATCTACTTAGGATTCACATCAAAAGGGTTAATCACTTGGTCATCCTACAGGTCTGGCATCTGCAGTCAATGGACGTACCCGAGGCTGTGTTTTGGTCTCGCAGATGAGTTCCTCAGGGACCCTAACATCAGAGGAATACATCAAGAGTAGGTTCTTATGTTTGTTCTACATACAGTATGTGTGAATTTTGAAGGAAGTTAGAGAAATAGATATTTATTCACTAAAATTTTCATGCAAATTCATATTGCTTTACCATTTACAGTCAGCCAAAGAAAATTTGATCCGAGAATCTTGTGGCAGCCCTCGTTGTACTTGAGTTGCCAATTCATTAATATAATTTCTTCGTTATTTAAGCAAATATACGAACATTTGGAAACTTTTCATTATCTTAAATAATGATGAATAGTTTATTATTATAAAAATGTTACCTTTGTTTTGTTCAATATTTATCCTGACAGTGATACAGCCGAAAATAGATCCACCAATCACAATCCCCATTACAAACAGCCTTCCTTCACCAAGTATTACCAGATAAAATTGCAAGTACGAAACCCAGGGTGGAGTTGGATCTTCGACTGAATGTACATGCAGCTAATTTCCGTTGGTGTCTTTTCTGGGGTTGGGGGACTACTGGTAATCAGTAACAAAGAAACAACAAAACTGCAGTACTATAGATATATAATTTTGTGAATAAATGTGATAAGGTACTATATTTTGCTTACTTTTTATGATATTGGCGAATTATTTTCATTAATAAAACATTCATAAGCCTTTTATTTTGCTATAGCTTCATGAGCTATGTATTTTAAGTTTTTAATTGTATAACACTGTTACTGGATTTAATATACGGTACTCGAGTAAATTATTCAAGTCCTTTATAGTTGCAAAGAAAATATGGTTTTATCAATATCAATTCATATACTGTATTTGATTTGGTATTGATAAAAAGTAAGACTTCTGTGGAGCACATATCACTAAATGATAGAGCCGCAAATACTAGTACTGTACTGTAATGAGGATATACTGTACACTATTTGTTTCCGTTACTGTATTAAACAGAAAACATTAATAATACACTTTCCTTTAATAATAAGCAAAACCGTTTTAGTAATACAGTAAGTCCTCGCTTAACGTCGGGGTTATTTTCCTAAAAATGCAACGTTATATGAAACAACATTAAGCTGATCAGTTTTCCGCATAAGAGATAGATAAAATACGGGCGCTACATTCCTGAGCCTCCCTTTGCCCCATGAAATACATCACAGTGGTCCCTCGATTAACGAACACAATTGGTTCCACAGAGTCGTTTGTTAACCAAAAATTTCGTTGACCGAATCTATTATTTCAATGGGATATTGAGTAATTGGTTCCAACTCACAGAAAAAGTACATACAAAGTATAAACAAAATACAGTACAGTACTGTACACTTACTCTGATGTGTGTATGTAAAATGTTGCTTGTTGATGATGATGATGGGAATTAGAAGTAGGGGAGGAGGAGAAGGAAGAAGAGAAGGAAGTAGGGGGAGGAGGAGAAGGGAGAAGAGAAGGAAGTGGGGGTGGAGGAGGAGAAGGGAGAAGAGAAGGAAGTGGGGGTGGAGTAGGAGAAGGGAGAAGAGAAGGGGGTGGAGGAGGAGGAGGAGAAGGGGAGAGAAGGAAGTGGGGGTGGAGGAGGAGAAGGAAGTGGGGGTGGAGGAGAAGGGAGAAGAGAAGGAAGTGGGGGTGGAGGAAGAGAAGGGAAGCATTTTACTGCTACTTGGAAGGCGAGTCACCTTCCATAATAATGTCAGGAACCTCTGGACTGACAGATTCTATAACATGAAAATCCTCTCTTCTTTTTGGAGAGGAACACTGAGGGGACTCATCTTTCTCATGCTGCTTTTTAGAGAAGAAACTGTCAAGTGTTAGTTGTGTGGCATTTCTCCTGATCATTAGCTGGTTCTTGAAGAAGGAGACCACTTTGTCCTCCATGGCACACAACATAGGTTCTGTTGTTTCCACATCAGGGTGCCTTGAAGCCAGTTTCCTAAACATCTCCCAGTGGTGAACAACATCTTTTAAGTCTGAAGAAGACATATGGTCATCTCTTTCCTTTTCCTCCTCACCACTGTCTGTTTCAAGCATCTCATCCAGTTGTTTCAAATCTTCAGGAGAAAGTTCCTGCTCATGAGACATCACAAGCTCTTCAACACCTTCCTCTTCCACTTCGAGTCCCATTGACTGACCAATGGACACAATCTCCTTCCCCAATTCTGCTTTTTCCTGAAATCCCTCAAAATCATGGACTGCTGGTGGCCACAGTGCTTTCCATGCAGAATTCAGGATGTTGTATTGCATCTTCCAGAACTGTGCCAGTGATAGATCAGGATCAGTGGTAGTTGCCTGATGACACCTTTTGAACATCTTCATGTACAGCTTCTTGAAGTTGCTGATTACATTTTGGTCCATTGGCTGCATAATTGATGTAGTGTTGGAAGGCAAAAACGAAACTTTGACAAAGTCAAATCGAGCCTCCAAAGTGCTGGCAAGTTCAGGGTCATGACTAGGGGCATTATCCAGAAGGAGAAGAGCTTTTAAAGGAAGTTTATTGGTGGTGAGGTAACTCTTCACAGAAGGGCAAAACACCTCAACTGCCCATTCATTAAAGAGCTGTGTAGTAACCCATGCCTTGTGGTTCGTCTTCCAATAAACTCCAAGTTGTCCTCTTACTTGTTTGAACACCCTGGGGTTCTCAGAGTGGTATTCGAGCATAGGTTTCAGTCTGAATTTCCCTGAAGTATTGGCACCAAGCAATAGAATGAGACAGTCCTTCATGGGTTTATGCCCCGGTAAAGCAACTTCATCTCTGGTGATGAATGTCCTTTTGGGTATTTTCTTCCAGAACAGTTTGGTTTCATCCACATTGAAAACTTGCTGTGGAAGATAATCCTTTTCATCCATCAGTTTCTTGAATTCTACTAAATTTTTCAGCTCCTTTAACCGCACTGGCAGCTTCACCATGCCTAACATTATAAATGGCAGTTCTTTTCTTAAACTTATCGAACCAGCCCTTGCTGGCTTTCAAGTCTTCAAACACGGTTTCAGAAGAACTAGGTTGATCTTCCTTCAAATGTTCATAAATTTCCCTGGCTCTTTCACAAATAAATTCAGTAGAAATGGAATCTCCTTTCATTTGTTTTTCTTTAATCCAAATAAGAAGTAACCTCTCTGTTTCTGCTATTAATGATCTACCTTTAAGCACTCTGGTAGAATTATCTCTCACTTTCACTGCTTTAAATTTGTCTTTCTGAACAATAATTGTAGATACAGTTGATGCCGACATGCCATATTTTTTACTCAGTACATTGGTTCTAATGCCTTCTTCATGTTTCTTAATAATTTCCTGTTTCACTTGAATTGAAATTGCCTTTCTAGATTTCTTTGGACCTGTGCTTGATATAGTAATTTCACCAATAAAATTTTAAGTTCACTACCTGTAATTAAAGATTATTTCATTTAAATCAACGCTGCACTGTGCTATATATTATCAATATGTTAACTAAATTTCAGAATGGCCAATAATTTTAATGCAAAAATGTAAAAATATTCAAGAGACCAACAAACTCCATGTTTTCTCCACTGTAAACAAAGTTAAACAGAGAAGCTTTGGCGGGTGAGTCAATCAGCTGGTGGGCGCACAAAACTGTACCCTATACTGTATACATCATCAATATGTTCACTAAATTTTAGGATGACCAATAATTTTAATATAAAAAATGCAAAAATATTCAAGAGCACAACTTTCTTGATATTTACTCCACTGGAAACGAATGTAAACATAGAACCGATTACTGTATTGGCGGACTAGCAAATTCGTTAACCGAAATTTTGTTACAGTAATTGGATCGTTCGTTAATCAAGGGACCACTGTACATACAGTATACAGAAAATCATTGCCATTTCTATAGAAAATTATGCATATATATACAACTACTAAGTTTGTTTTGGTACTTACCGATGGGTGGAGGTGGTAGAGCGAGTGTGGTGGGTAGTGAAGCGGAGGAGGTGGATGGCGGGAGGGTTGGAGTACGGTGGGAGGGGAGGAGGAGGGTGGCGAGTCACTGAGAGAGCGTAGCGCGGCCAGACGAGAGGGTGGTGCACTGTAAAATGTACTACAGTACGTGGCGACGTAGTACCGAAACAACGTTAAGTGGGAGACGTTAAGAATGGACTTACTGTACTGTATCTTCCATTGCTACCTTAAGCAGAAAAATCCGTTCAATTTTTGTCCATTATTGTATTAAGCAGAACAGTCTTATCAGTGTTTCTTTCATATCTGAATTAAGCTGCATAATCTTAGTGAATATGAAGTTTTACAAAAGTTTTCTGAAGATTTAAAGAAGGCAAAAGACACTGTGAAGTTTAATGAATGTATGTCAAATTATAATGGGTTATTTTAACCCTTAAAGCCTGGGCGACTTAAGACTCGCCAGACCCCCTATGCTGACAGATTTCGGCGCCCCAAAAAATAATATAATAATAATAAAAAATCTATTGTCACCTTAAATATGGGTTAATCAAAATAAGAAAAAAAAACAGAGGAATGTGCTTACATTCAACTTTCATTGTAGCATGGTTTGAGAATTGTCTGTTAATGAGCAGTGTGGAGTAATGAAAGATGTTTTGTTTGAAACTGCTGCACACAGCCCAGAGTGAGTGGGAAGTGATGTTGACACACACTTGCAACACAGTTCTTAATTGAAGTCACTTTTATGTCATATTTCTATCTTACAGCTACTGTACTACAAAACACAAAATATTTCTACTTTTCTCTCAAAAGAACTATAAAATACTGAACAAATGTTGAAGGGCATGCATCCATCACGATAGTCGGTGGGTAGATGACCACGAGTCTTGAGAGACAGATTACGCGAAAGATAAGTTGCCAATTAAACAAAGTAGAGGAACGTCACCCGGGCTTTAAGGGTTAATGCAAAATTAGGGAAAGGGAAAGAAGCACTAGAAGTAGGGCCATATGTGTTGGGTATTAAAAATAAAAGGGAAGAAAGATTAATTGACTTTTGTATGGTCAGCAAGATGGTAATTCCAAGTACCTGTACTTAGCTTCAACTTCACCCTAGGTATCTTAATCCAATGATATCTCCCAGGATAATGTAAATTATGTTGTCAGGAATCAAATACATTACATATTAATTTTGAAAATATCCACAAATTTGGTAACCGAAACCAAGTGGCAGATTATAGGTCAGACCATATTCCAATAATGAGTTTAGCGGGGCATTGGAAAAAATGGATGAAAGTGTGTGTCCTTTTATGGTACCACTTTTGCTGGATTGTAATGTTAACACACTTTTCTAAGTTGAAGCCATTCAAAATCTTTTTTCATAAAATTTTTGGAGACTGCATGTTTGGATAATTTATGTAGCAGCAGTGATAACATCCAAGGGAGTATCAACAGACATTGCTGCAGAAATTGACTGTGTAACCAGAGTATGTAATCCTATTCTAGGTTGTGGAAAGATGGCTGAGAATCACACTTCCTTTGTTGTGGGGTTTGTGTCACAGAGCAGCATCAGTGGGGACCCTCGGTTTATTGTATTTACTCCTGGGGTACAGCTGAACAAAACTACAGATGGACTTGGACAGCAGGTAAGATTGTTCATTTGGTACAGAATCATTATTATAATTATTTCTTACTTTTTTTTGGGTGGGGGGGGGCTTAGTCAAGGATACTATACTCACTTTACACTAGCTTGGCCCATAAGCCACGCCCTCATTTCTATAAGCGAGCTGATTGGTTCATATCAAATGTTTGTTTTGCTGTGTATTTATTCATACTACTGTGTTCACTATTTATTATCAGACCTGTTGTTCTCTATAATAATGTTAAAAATTAAAAAATTAAAATGGTTTTAAGGCACTAGCACATCAAAGAGGATGTTAAAATTTTTTACATGTATATAACAAACGGTCGAAGTCAAAGTCAAAAGTTGCGTTCGGATGAAGCCTATCTATTATTTCTTTGTTGAGGTTACTACTGTACTCTCTTTGAGCGTTAATCAAATTGTATCCCACCTGTCGCATAGCAAAACTAGGAAGTTAGTGCAAATTTTAGAGCAATACGAGTACCTCTGGAATGCATCTGTCATGCTAAGTGGGGTTTCCCTATACAGTACCTTGATATTTAATGTAATAAAACAAAGAAATTTGCAGCTTTAATGCTCATTTATAGTTATTCCTTATTTCAGTTTATACTTGTCAACAGCACTGGTTGATTGGCAGCTACAGTACTGTACTTAACATTAATAATATACCCATTACTGTAATAATCAAATTATAGATCTTATCCAGAATGCAATTCAAGGCAGTGTTTGCTTTTATAACTCCTTTCATAAGTCCTTTAGGTACAGGATTCAAACCAGTTCAAAGAATCACCTTCCTATTGCTGAGCCAAGTATACAGTAATACCCCGCTTTACGCGGTTTCACTTTCCGCGATTTCGCATTTACGCGGTACCTCGCCAGAACCGGACTTTCACTTTACGCGGTGCATCTACTCATATACGCGGGAAGCGGCACGGGCAGGATGCACACAAGGTCGCCCAGTCATCAAAACATTACCGAGTTCTTCACCCGCCACCCACCACAGCCGGCCCAAGTCAGTGATAGTGAGGATATGGACTTATATGGACTTTGAGGGGTTTGACGAAGAGGCCCTGCAAGCCTATGTGGTGGATAGTGATACAATTGATACAAGTGATACAGGTGAGGGCCAATAATCTGCCCTCTGTCTTGGAACCAACCCCCCCATCCCTGTGTGTCCAGCCATCTTTTCTACTAATGTAAGTGTTAAAAAAACTAATATTATTGATATTTCTCGTAATTATTAATTGTGTGTGCATACCATCATAAAATTAAGATGTAATTTTTACTACAACGTAGGTATTGTGTCTGAAAAAGTGGAGTTTGGGGGTCGGGCCAGTCTCTATTGGAATTAATCCCGTATGTTCTGTTGTTCACTTAACGCGGTTTTCACTTTCCGCGGTACCCCATGGGTTCAATTGACTGCGTAAATTGGGGTACTACTGTACTGTATTCATAGATTTCTGTATACTGTATTTTTAATAGGCATAAACATTGAGTGGAAAAAGGCCCCTTAAAATTTTTGCCATTTATGGTTATGTTCTATTATTATATAAATGTGACTATAAAAATGGGCTAGCTTGCTTTGGAGATGGTTTATGGATATGACAACACAATGATAAGAATATTTATTGATTGGAGCAGTTAAGAATGACTCTTCACCTACAGTATACTGTAAGTACTGTAAATAGCTTGATTTTACGATACTGTATTTTTAATTGATGGCGTGCTCTTTGTTGTACTTCTCAGTATGTGACGCCTCGGGCAGCTGTGTTTGAACGAGGTGCAGATGTTATTATTGTTGGGCGTGGGATCACACAAGCCAGTGATCCAGTTGCTGCGGCCAAGAAGTATCGAGAGGAAGCATTTCTTGCTTATGAGGAACGTGTATCAATTCAGTAAAAACAACTTTTTGAGGTTATTATTATTAATGCAATAAGTCCTGTTAGTGCTGAAAGTATAAGAACCTGAGTATTACAAAGTTTGTGAACATTTTCCATTAAATATTCATCAATGTGTTCATGATTATAAAATAATGGTATTAATTAGGTAACATTAGTTGTTGGTCTTGATTAAAATTTGCCTCTGAAGTTGCACAAATACGGTATTCACTTGCTGTTAGTATTGCCCCTACTCTTTCAGTTTAATTACTCTCAAAGTTTAGACCTTGATAGAGTAGATGTATAATCTACAAAAATAAATAAATAAAGTGCATTGTTCATGTAATAAAGTCCTGTGAAATGTAGGGGGAATGTTGTTGATCTTAAATTATAATACAGTGCAGTGTATTACTGTACTGTATATCTAACAACATAATTATTAAAGAGAATGTTGTAAAAGTTAACAATTGTGATTTAGGAATCTTGAGAGCCTTATAATTAAATATTTATATACAATATTTATAATATATTTTTTCTGTACTGTACTTTCTTTCAGACTTTATTAGCATACAGTATTCTGGAGAGTAATATAAGTTAAAAAAAAAATCTGTTTCCAATGTTATTTTTGTAAATTTTTAAATGAAAAACTCTCCATAACATTTCAAAATTATTAAACCTCACAATATCAAAGACTTGTATGATCAACTTGAATTGTAACTGCATTACTTTTATTGTCTCACATACAGTATACTTAAGGAGACTTATTTACTGTATATTATGCAACACTCAGTTGGTATTAATGAAACACTAAAAGGGGAGTAAAACCTTCCAACCCTAGCCATCAGGGAGGGGAGTACTACCCTAGCCATCAAAGGGGGGAGGGGGGAATACAGCCCTATCTATCAGAGAGGGGAACACATTCAAAGTCAAGATAACAATGTTTCTCACTGGTTTCTATGGCCCAGACTTATCCTATTCCTCTTCATTTGCAATTAAATGGGTCAGTTTTAACCTTTCCCAGTCAGAGGAAACTATTCCCACTTTATAAAGATCATCGGAGTTGTCTATTTCTATCACCCTGTCCGGTTGAGCCTTCAGCCATGCCACAACTTTGCCATCTCTCGTTATTGCATTATTCACTTCTTGTTGCTCTTTCACAATTTTCAACATTGCTGCTCTCATCGGGGTAAGATCTTCATTTAGGAATATCTTCTCTTTATTTTTCAACTGCTTTCTTCCTTAACAATTCATTTCTCTTCTTACTTTGACAAAGTCTCACAATCACTTGTTGCTCCCCATTCCTTGATCTGCCCAGGCAATGTACCACTGAGATATCTTCTGGTTTCAGACCTACACCTGTATCAGATGCTAAATTTACCACTTTTCCTTCTAAGTCTTCTTCAGTCTCCTCTACTCCTCCTTCCAAACCAACGATGCATATATTTTCTCTTCTCTGATACTGCTCTAGTTTGTCATATTCATATTTGTTCCAGAGTGCATGTTTCTGCGCCTGGCTTGATCTCTTGTTCGTGCTATTAAACACTTCCATTACTTTTGTGTTCGCACTTGTCACTGCCACCAACACTGCTACTCCCATAGCTTTGGTGATTTCTGGCATAACTTCTTCGGCAAGATCCTCGACTCTTTTTGTGGATTCTTTACCCTTCTTTGTGAAAACAGTTGTCTTTAGCTCACCCTCTACTTTCTCATTTACCAATGCCTCAATATCCAAGTCAATATTTATTTCCTCAGCCATTTTCTTTTCTTTACTGTGATTTTCTGTTTTCTTACCAGCTATTAATAGTTATGCGCAGGGGTATACTGTACTGTATAAAGGTGACGTGGTTAATCAAAATATCAGTTCAATTCGCCTTTACACATAATTTTAGCACTGCTATTTCTGAAAATCAAGTTTCTATATTTCTGTACCTTTCGGTAACCCTCTGTATAGTTCATTGGCGAATTAAACTATAATACCTTGTGAATTTCCCTTGAAATGTGGAGCTGTCCTTGACACGTCCAACCACAGCAGCAACAACAACGTGCGCACACAGCAAATGTCATACTCAGGCTAGCAATCACAATAATACGGTTCCTGCAAGCGTAAAAATATTTAAGATACACTGTACACTGTAGGTGAATAATGGCAATTTACTAATGCCAATAGTTTATTATTAAATATATTGACAAGTAAAAAAAAATCAAACTTCATAATTATTGTACATAATAAGCAAAGGATGTTGCACATTGTATTAACAATATATGGCAGTACGATGTACTGGCAGTATACGGCAACAAGCACAAGAACTATCGGTACACAATTAAAAATGGTTATCTTATTTCGCCTAAAATAATACAAAATAAACGATGCTCAAAGGTAGAGTAAATAGTGGATTGCCAATTTAGAACATTCAATAAACAGTGCAGTACTTTATATTATTAATGATAGTACAGCTAGACCCCGACTTACGACGGGGTTAGGGACCCAAATCCAGGTCGTAAGTCCGACATAGATGGGGAAAAAAAAATTTAAATAAAAAAATCTACAATGAAATACAATACAGTAAAAGTAATGAATAATGGATACATTACAGTGAAAGTAATAAATATTGAGGAATGGATAGTGTGACTGAGCACTTACCTTTAATGTAGTCAGCTGAATGCACATGGGGCCCCCATAATTTTCTAATTACAGGTATACATTAGACTACATTAACTGGAAACGTTTCGGTATAGAAAATGCGTGTGTCATTTTGAAAAAAAAAAAATGGTCACAACTGCGGCAGTCGTAAGTCCCGACGGTCGTAAGTCGGGGTCTAGCTGTACTGTACACTGTGTTGGCAGTACTCGGGTGCTGGTAAATTATTCATATATTTTATTTATAACTAAAAATGTACTTTAAAAAGTTGCTTGAAAGTAAAGTTAATATTTAATGCCAATGTAAGCCATTCAAGTTTCAAAATCCTTCAATACAGTTAGTTAAAACTTGTTTTGGAAATTAAGTTGCAACCCAGTATTGAGTGACTGAGACTTACCAATAAGGTAAAGTTAAAGTCTGATGCTAGTGGTGAGCCATACTTAGAGGTTGACATTTTATGCAGTATCTATTGTATAAGATGACCCCTAGTTTTGAAGAAAAAAATTGAGCAATATACGGTACAGTACAGTCAGTCCTCGACTTACGACGGGGTTAGAGACCGACGACCAGGTCGTAAGTCGAAAATGCAAATATAATACATAGAAAATCTAAAATGAAACGGTACAGTAAAAGTAATCAATAATGAAAAATTAATAAAGTGTTACTGTGCACTTACCTTTAATGAAGTCAGCTGAATGCACACAGGGCCTCAATAATTTTTTAATTAAACATGGAGACTACATTAATTGGAAGAAGCAGAGGAGGAGACAGGGCTGGGTGGGTCATTAATTTCACTTTCTTCAGACAGGCTAACATACTTGCTTGTTGAGGGTATTGGATCATCTTTGGGGAGTGAAGAGACAGCAGTGGTGGGGCGTGAGGAGACAGCAGTGGGGGACTTCTTAAAAAAAATTTCCAATTTAGACTGCACAGTTTGCCTTTTCTTTTCATTGTAAATCTCCCTGTAGCAAGCAAGTGCATTTTGGATCTGTCTGTCAACTTTTGCAAAAAGCTCAAC